GCATTGTCTTTGATATCCTGGGACCTCTACAATGAACTGCTAGTGGCACGTATCCTATCCCTGATCAAGAGGCTGTAACAGTAGCAGTAATGATGCAGCATTGGATGTACAAGTTTGGAGTGCCTGTTTAATTTCATTTTGCTTAAGGAAGGAATTTTATTTCAGCTGTAATTAAAGGACTCTGTGAACTACTCGGCATAGACAAAACCCAAAAGATATCTTTAAACCTGAAATCAAAAGGCATTTTAGAGAAGTTTAATTGAACTATCCTTAATAACTTCTTGCTGCTTTCCAGAAACCAACAGGACTGGTTCTCACTGGCCTATCACAATGCTGTCTAAGAGACTACCGGCTGTTCTCCATCCAAGATGCTTTTCGGTTGGGATTTTCATCTACCTTGTGATCTCTTGTTTGGTGCCTTCCAGATACATCTTAATCGCCTGAGGAGTACATTCAAGATCTCCAAGCATTTTTCGAAGTGATGCACAAGTCAATTTGACAACAGAAAAGATAAAGACCCAATACGGTACACGAGCTACAGGACATCATTTCAGTGAAGAGAAATAAGGTGTGTTTATGAATCTGATTCGATAGAAAGGACTTTCTTCTAAACTAGTCATTCTGGGACAGTTCTTATACAGACCTATACAGGCTGAACATCATTTTAGTTCGGATCCATAAGCCATCAAATTCTAACCCTAAAAGCTTTCGTTACCACAGGCTACCACTTTGTATGGTTGTCCAGATGGTATAGTGATTAGGGGAGCTTACTGGGGTACCGAAGGGCCTGGGTTCGAATCCCAGAGAAGATATGTATATTTGTAAATGTATAGTGTAATTGTGGCATGGTGGCAGTCTAAATATGCAGCGAGTCGATAGTCCCTTTCCCCCCGAATCCTCCCCAGGTTGCTCTGCCTAAAAGTTGAGGGGAGGAAAATAGAAGTCCAACCTATCTTCAGGGTAGGCTGTGGCAACTGTTATTGCATGTAATATGGACAAGATAACAACCGCTTTCTATGGCCACAGTACGTAGTCCTCATAGTGTATGTAATGTAAATAATAAATTAAGACCATAGTCCTATTTGTATATAAATTTGCAAATTCATGTATTTAATTATTGATTTGCTGCATTGTTATTTATTAAACTATTGGTATAATAAGGTATTTTCTCCTTCCTTCCAGCATGCCTTCATGGTTGAAATGGTTGGACACTCGGCACATATTCGAGAAGTCCAGGTTTGAGTCCTAGTTAGGACACTGCTCATTTTTCCCTGCTTCAAAATAACCTAATGACTCGGCACCTGAACTAAAAAGTGGTAGATAATAATTCAGCATCACCAGGATTTGGCGTTTGAGTCCTCTAATCCCCAGCTGCCCTTTAAAAGGGGGAGTATATAAGGTCTCTTTTTTTCATCCTTCCAGTATGCCTTCATGGTGTAACGGTAGCACACATATATTCAAGAGGTCCAGGTTCGAGTCCCGGCAAGGACATTTCACATTTTTCATGTCTGCTGCTTCAAAAAAATAAATAAATAAAATAGTCTAATGACTATACATTATGAACAATTTTAGTGAAATTATGCTAGAAATTGTAGTATCTTTTGTGTAATGTGACCTGAAAAGTCTGAAGAGATGAAGCTGTGTCAGAAAAATAAGGTTACGGGAGCAGATTGATTCTAATATGTAACTGTAACCATATCCGGCTGTTATATATAGCTTTAATCATATATGCAATCTAGTAATTTCAAGAAATGGAAGGTACAAGAGATTTCTTGAAGGCTGATGGAAAAATGTATAAGACCAGAAAGAGCATCAACTCCCAGTTGTTTAGTTCAGCGTTGAATTTTGAGTATTTAAAGATCTCTGCAAGAGCTTTGCATATTAGATGTGCTTTGCATTGCGCTGAGTTTAATGTTCTTAGTAATTTAGACTACTAAGTGTAACTACTGATTGCACTCTATAATATTGAGAAGAGCTGTAGGAGTAAATTTGCGGAAAGGTCCAGACACGTGAAGTGTTTCTTTTGCTAAAATGAATTTATCAAGTTGTCATCTGTTCTGTGGGCATTCAATTAATTATGAACCCATACATATGTAGCAGTATTGTCAAATGATAAACATAGGTTAAGAACACTTTTTACAATATCAACATTTTATGGGCTTATCAGCTGTGCAGTGAGGTTTGCATTTCAGTTAGATGTCAATATACCATATTAAAGATGAGAAGAAGGAACAGGAGAGATCATTTTTCTGTATTTTTAAATTTAAGTTTGATTTTTAATTTAATATTTTAAGATTAATCAAATGATAAACATGACAATAACTTTTAATATTACTTTTTTATTATTTTAAACAGTATTAATTTTGATGAGTAGTGTAGGTTATAAATCTAAAGTAATGAAACTTCATGAGAACTTTAATAATACATTTTTAGTGTTTAAAAACTTAAAAATTACTTTTAGAAGTAAAAATGTCTTTCAGCACATGCAAAACTCTGTGGCATATAAGAAGGGAAAATAAACCTCAGTTTATTTCCTGAAGGCAACATGAAAATTGTATCAAAAATTCCAGTTTTCAAAATTTAATTCATCATTTTGGTTGCACAAGAATTAAACTTTTTGTGTTTTATTTTTTATAATAAGATAACATTTTTCTATATGTAAGTATTGTAATCAGGTGATTGTATAAAAAGTTAAAATACTTACTTACTTTTTTTAAAAGATTTGAAATACCAAAAAATTTAATATTTGTATTATTTGAAGCATTTTTTTAGGTGGAAGTATGTGTCTATGACCAACAGTAAAAAAAAAAAAAAAAAAAAAAAAAAAAATGAAGGGTGCATAAGTACTTTTATAGACATATAGAAGTGTCATATAGAAGTTCTACAAACTTAAAATTAGACCTTTTTGTGTTATCCAGCATTTAACATGAAATTACTTTTACTCAAACTAGCTATTATTTTTGCTTTTTCTCAGATACTTTCAGTGTTAGAAACATTTCATAAACAGATTTAAAAGCAAAAGGAAACACTGTATGTGCATTATCATTTCAACACTACTTAACAAGTTAAACATTAAAACTTTATTTAATGTTAAATTCATGATCTAGTAAATATATACAGTGACCCAAAAAAGTTTATGCATCAGTCAGGGTATTTGAGTAATCACCTGTTGGAAATAATGGTTTCATTTTAAAATTTATCTGAATTTACTGCATTGCCTTCCTTACACTAGTAATCTATCACCAAAATTTAATTAGCCCTGCAATTCAATTTTAATTTAAATGTTTATCTAAATTTATTGCATTGCCCTTTACTGATAACATATAAGCTGACCTTAAATGGCCCAACCTACAGGTCATCAGTGATCACAGCTTTACTTACTGATGTATTCTGAGTCAGTTTTAATTTAAAGTATGTATCAAAATTTTTTATATAGCCCTACATCAGTGACTTATGGATTGATTCAAAGTGACACTCAATTTGCCACCTCACTGGTCACCAAAAGCTTTCTGGGGCACTAATATCATTCAATTTAATTTAAATTTTAAAGGCTACCTGAATTTGATGCAATTCTTCATATTCGTGACTTATATGTTAACCTTTAATGATCATTAATATATATGCCCAATAGTTGTAGCAGATACTTGTGTCTCATATTAACCATATAATGGTGTCTCAGTTTAATTTTAAAAAGCTATCTTAATTTATTCTGATGCCTTATATTATTAACATCTGAATATATCTCAAGCAAGGATGAAATTCAACTAAAGCCCATTTTCTAAGGCATTCGTCAGTATTTGAGTAATTCATAATTGTAACTAGAGTCCCAAATAAATTGAGCTCTGGTGTTTCATTTTTTTTTTATTTAACTATTTGCCATTAATTCAATTTATTATTTTTTTTATTTAACTCTCCGCATTTTAGTTGATTTTATTATTCATTAAAAACTTTTTTTTAACCTTTTCTGTTAACTTCTATACATTTCCAGCATTTCTAATTTTAGAAAATTAATTTTCTAAAACTGTTTTTTTAATTCTCATAATATAGCCTTTAGAATGGTGCAGTTGAAAACACTTTCCCTCCTTCCCATATTGTTCTTTAATTAGAAGTCATTCGGTTGCTGCATTTATGATTTTTTTATGTTTATTTTTATTTAATTTAAATTAACTGTGATTTATTTTCCTATTATGAACTACTACTTTTCATTCTTTCCAACTTATTAGTATGTAAGGAATTAGTGTAATGTTTTCAATGTTTTGACCTTTCAAAAAAATGTGCATTTCAGAAAATATAAAAGTTATTCACACTGACATACCATATTTAGACATTCTAAAAGGCAATTAATTTTGTTAAAGCTTCCAGTCAAATGACCCGACTCTAAATCATGCATCTTTCTGCAATTCTACGCTACTGTGGAAAGGCAGGGGCTATTGTAAAGCCACTGTCTTCCCAAAAAATTTGTAATTCTTTCTTCTGATTAATTAGACAGAGTAAAGTCATGCTTTCCTGCTATTTAAAATCTCAAAAGTGATCTGAAATATTCTTAGTTCAAACTAAATTTTTCTTTTCTGAAAATGCTCTACAGCCTTTCTAATTGATGTAGTGAGAAATGCAAATGATACAACAGAATTTTCGTTTTGAAAATTAAGTATAACTTTTCAGTATGTTTTCGAAAGCATAATTACAGTATTAACTAATTGTGTGGAAAACAAGATGCATAACCATCTGTATAGAACCAAATATTGTGCATTTCATCTATAATCATTGTATTCTATGCTGTGAGTTTTCTTATAAAGAATATAATTTGAATTTCAAATTTGAATATGATAAATGATTAACTCAATACTTTTTTTTACTAAGAATTTGAAATTTAAAGTATTTTAAAATCAAATTATAAAATTATTATCAGATTACAAACATGTATGTCAATATATGTACCATTAAAAACTGAGGATGAAGAATTTCTGATCTAAAAAAAATAACTTGATTTATTTTTTCAGGGTGATATGCTTAGTGAAGTACTTTCTCCAGCTTTTCAGTCAGTAGTAGATAATGATGAAAAAGTATTGGAACCTTTAACATCTGATTTGAGAAGATTAAGAAGAATTCAGAGTACATCAGAAAGTGAGGTCTGAATATTTAAATTCATAAATTATATTATATTTTCATTAAAGAAGTACTTTCTAAAATTTATGATAAAATATTTGCTGTATTTCACTCTTTTAAATAATTCTATTTTATGCTTCCTAGAGTCTAAAAATAAAGAAGGCTTGTCAGAGCATATGCTATAGTGCATTGGAAATGCTTAAAATCGAATTTGAAGCTGTTTCATATGATATTGAAACTCTGAAGGAAGTTAAACCAGTTGAGAAAGAAGTTGTACATACAGAAGTATGTTGTTTGGCGTAATTTTTAAGGAACTCTTTAATAATGTTTCCATCTATTGTATTCATAATTAAAAGTATTTTATATCAACTTACATACCAAATACTTTTTTTTTTTTCTGTAGCCATAAATATTTTTAGCAAAAAGCATCTCTATCATCTGAAATTAATTTTGGATATTTCAGCTAAAAATATAATCCTGTTTTATCATGTTAGCATTTTCCAATGTTACGATAAGGAAGCCCATTATTTATGTAGGAAGGAACTTTGCTGATTGTTTAAATAAAGAGTCTTTGTTCGAAGTTCAGACTTAATGTGTGAAGGTGCAGTTGCCCCTCGCTCCCTATTTTTTGACTTCCCTGATTTTCTTGCGTTTTAGTCCTATGTTTGATCAGATTGTCTGGCTCAGTAAAAGTAGGTGGCCAGTGTAACTCTGATTCAAATTCCAGTTACGACCACGTGCATGCTGATAAGGACCACATGTTTCCGAGACTCCTTTGCTTATGCTTTATTTTTCTTCTTTTTTCCTCTTTCTAGGAATTCCGTTCTCTTGATGAGGAGGGACCTTTAGCTGCCCTCGAAATGGATTGAGTGTTGTAATATACTTACGCTAAATACAAGGTTGTTATTGTGATTTTGATTGTTACATTGGTGCGTTTCTCTTCATTTCTAGTTTGAGTTGATAGTTTTCATAAGAAATTAATTGAACTAGAAATAAAATGCATGGGTTTTTTAATGACATTTTTAAATAATAAAAAGAATGAAGAATGGGACTTTATTTATTTTGTTAGCGTCAAAAAATAATAATATTTAAATGTATAAATTTGTCTGTTGTTTAAAGAGATGAAAAGCATTAAAAAAGTAATACAACTTTTAGTAGTATTAATTTATAATGGCATTTGGTTTCTAGTAAATTTGTTTGATTTCTAATTGTTTTGTCAGTGATGCCTTACAATTTCATATTATTTTTCATAAGTGGTAGTTATCATTTTGAATTTTTCCTGTAATAATTTTTAAAATTTATTATTTGTTTGGGTGAAATAAATTGTGTTTTGTTTTCTTTAAATAATCATTGAACCAAGGACATTTCATATTGTACATTTTTATGCTGTTGTATTCTTTGCTTAACAACAGCAGCAAAACAGTTTTAAGTTTTTATTATTATTATTATTATTTATTTATAGGGAAAAGAAATGGTTGTTTCATTTGGAGACCTCTTTCTTGAAATTTTTCATGCAAAAAAAGATGAACTTGTGAAATATATTCGTAAAGCAAATATTGAGGAAAACATGAAGGGGAAAATTAAACTTATCTTGGCTGTAGCAGAAGGTGCAAATACTGAAAAGAAAACAGTGAGATTTTTAAGATCTTTCATAAATTTTCATCTAATTTTAATATTTGAAAAATGAGCTGAAATAGTTACTACCATAATTTTTACTGGAAATAGATAATGCTTAAATTGCATATTATGTTAACTTGTATAAAGTACTTAATAATAGTAAAAGATTTCTTGAAAAATAAAATTTTGATACGTAATTATTGAGTAATGAATGAAATGGGCTAAGTTGTATTTTTATGGAAGTTTTACATATTTAACTTTAACCTGATAGTAAAAATGTTTGTGCAGAACTTGATGATCCAATTTCAAACTCATTTTAATGGCAGTTAGAATGTTAGCATTAGGGTTTTTTTTTTTTTTTTTTTTAAAATTTTATTTTCAATATAAAATTTGTAATTTAGTGTCATTTAATAATAGTAATTAATTATATAAAAACTTTACTAAATAGATTTCTTTCTGATAAACTTAACATATAGAATTGATTTAAATTCTGTTTGCTGCCAATGAGTTAATGACTAATGTGAAATCACTGGAATTCATATTAACTGCAAGTCAATGCTTGCACAAATAACTGCATAATTATTTTTTATTATGTGTGTAGTTATAATATTCTACTCTTTAAGAATGGTTATAAAGATGGGTTCTCTTTGGTAGCATAAACTAGCAAGAGATTTGGAGCGAATTATCGCTTCATCTGAAAAGAACTATAGTCTTGAAAAGGGTTAAAACAACCTTTTTATTAAATCAAAATAACATAAATGCACAATTTGTGCATAACAAAACATCCACCACTCGTGGCAATGAAGCTTAAAGTTACAGTAAATTCAGATTTAAAACTAAGGTTAGTGATTAAAGACTACACATGGGATTTAACATGAAGTTGGTGGAACTTCTTAACCATGTAGAAATTTAAATGTGAGCAGCAATGATGCAAAGCTAAAGAATTGCATTCTTATCAGAGCTAGCAAAACTTAGTAACAGGGTCTCAAAAGACGGAAACACACTCTGTTTTACAAGCCAAAGCTCACAGCTTAAATACTCTCTAATCTCATTAACATTCTGGTAAAGAAATGGAAAGGAGAAGTTATAGTAAATATCTAAATTATAAAATGATTGGTTATGCAAAATAATAGATTAAAAATTATATCTCAAATTTTTATGCATGTATAATCAAATTATCACTTTTTAAACCAAATATTTATTACAGTGAAATTAGCAGAGATTCTGAGATTAGAATTAGCCAATAAGTCACCTCTTCTGGTTGAAGTATGATAGATAAATTTGATAATTGTAACTACTCAAAATTGCTGTTTCTAGTCAAAGAATAGCATCTATATCATCATGGTAATCTACAGGAAATCTCTTATCAATGATAATAGTAATAACAGTGTGTTCTATGGTATATATATTGGCTTTATTTACTTTAAACTAGAGGTCGTTAACCTGTGGCCTACTTAACCTTTTCGATCAGTTAAAAATGAAACTGTCAATGCAGCTATCTCAGATTCATTACTTTTCTTTAATTTTCCCAAAGAGAAGTTTGCAAGATATTTGATGTTTATCTCACCCAACTCTGCTTTTGTTCAATGTCAATATATTTTAAGCACTTCATTGTGTTGGGTTTCTTAACTAAAATAAACATAAAAGAAACTATTTCTGCAGTCTTTTTCATATCTTCATTTTCATCTTGTTCAAAAGTGTAGAGGTGGGAGAAGAAAAATGAATGGAATTCTATTTCTCCCAATATTGCAATCACTTGGCAAAGGAACAGGTGGATGTAAAGAACGAGGTGGTTCAATGAGATGCTTACAGGCTGGTTAGGTCCAGTATCTTCAATAAATCGAACAGATCAACTTATTATGATTTTGTCTCTAGAAATTAAAATTCTGTAGCCTTTACTTCTGCTCTCATAGATGACAAATATTTCTTCTACAGTAGTATTATCCAGTTTACTCCTTTTAGATTTATAAATGTAAGCAAAAGCCTTGCATCTAAATGTTCTCAAATGAGAGAGGTTGAGTTTCTTATTATTCCATAATTTGAATGGTGTTTTCACATTGCATTTTGTAGGTGTTTGATTTTACAGATAATTTGCAGTCAGCACTACATCTGCCCAGTATTGTAAGGTTGACCTGAATTGGCTAAAAAACATCTTATCAATTCATGTAGAAAATGAAACAATTTAAAATTTTCAAAGATAAAAATGGAATTATCAGGCTCAAAGCCAAGAGAGTATATCCACATGTTGCTTCAGACTTTAAAACATTAGCTGGACTTCCCTCTAAGTATAAAGTTGTTTAACCCATTAGCTGCTGGTGTTGCGTTGACGCAACGGTCAAAATAAATGCGTTAAATATAACTACCTAAGATATTTTATACCAGCAGATGATTTTGTGTAGGGAATATTATGAAGATTATTTCTGTAAAAAAATATTTGCCTTCAACAATTATTTTGTTTATAATAATTAATCTCATACTTTAAGCAAAATTTTTGACTGGGTATTTTTGCTGAATATATTTAACGAAAGAATAGCCGTCTTTATGAGTGATCTATTTTTAGTCAAGGTCACCGTTTATCAGAACATTACATCAGTCAGATGTTTATATTTGTGTTGGGAAGCAAGGGAAAACAGATGTTGCGCTGACGCAACGTCAGCAGGAAATGGGTAGTCAGCAGGAAATGAGTGAATGGCGCCAATAGCTTAACTCCTGTCTAGCTATTCGTATCATATCACCCTATCTTATCTCCTTCATTTTTACTTTGGCAGCTGAGGAAGATCGTTCGGTAGTCAAACCGTCGAAATGAGTCCTGGAAAATTTGTAAATATAATGCTGATTTTTGTTGTTTGACTTCTAAATTAATATTTGTTCAGGATGTTGTTTTGACCTAAATCATTTAATGTTATCAAAAACATTTGTGTCGTTTAGTGCAGCTGCTGCGGCAGGAATTCAGCAGAGTAGGAAAGTAGATAGCGGGGGCCAGTGCTGCCCTGATGTTTATTTTTTACCCATATATCTTCTATCAGGATCATTAAAAATGTATCTGTGGGTTAATTTGTAGGTGCTATATCCAGCAGTTGCCAACTGATCTACTTAGGCAACTATTAATTTAAAAAAGAAAATTTCTAGACCGTTATTCATTCTCCCTACCTATTTGCACTGATATCATTGCAGAGTATTCATGATGTAATATAAACAGGCTACCCTATTAACAGAAAGATACCAAAAATTACTTTGGCTCAACAGCTATTGTGTGTGTATTGGTAACCATCTGTCTCTTGCCAAGGACCACTCTAACCATCAAGTGCTGGAAAATGTGTTTTTAATTTATGTTTCAAACAGGTAAGTGCTCAAGAGAGGAAGAAAACATGCTAAAATAAAACTAGTCCAGCTAATGCTCTCTAATCTTCATCAAAATCATATGATTTCACACCATTATATATAGCAATTTTCTAATGTAAATATATAATTAAAATACTGGATATTCTTGATTTTAATATTTCAACATTTTTTATGCGTGAGGATAATTTTTACCATTGATGCAGGTAATAATTTCCATATTAGTTTGCACAAAATATTTATATGTATTGTGCGAATCCTAGATAACCCTAGATATTTTTGAAGTACAATTAATGAAAACCCTAGATATTTTTGAAGTACAATTAATGAAAAAGCTTGTGTAATTCCTGTGAATTTTCAGTGTGTTTCTGTATATATATAAATTTGCCTTTTATTTTTTTAGATAGTTATGATTAATATAGTTTTTTTTTTTTTTTTTTTTTTTTTTTTTTTTTTTTTAATAATAGGAAATTGCTTCAAACAGTGTGTTATCAGATACTGATACGGCAAAGTCTGATGATATAAGCAGTGAAATTTGTATGAAAAATGTAAGATTACTTTTCAAATTTGTTACCTTGATTGACTTTATTTATAAATCATAGATGAAATGCTGTTTTCTTTTAAATCTTTATATTCTTTAATCTTAGCATTGCTTTTAAGCTTCCTGAAATGTTTATCTAGTGGAGTTTTTAAAAAGTTTTTTGTTTCATTGTAATAGTTTAAATTTTCAAATATGACAATATTAAATAGTGATTGACGATATTAAATAGTGACTTATGATTTAAAGTTGCACTACAGTTATTTTTTCTGAATTGACAGCTAAACAATACTTTTTTGTGGAAGAAATGAAGTAAAAAGATGACATTTGTCCCAAGTAATTAATTATATTTTTAATGCTTTCATGTAACTGTTAAAATAGTATATTAATTTTGTATAGGTATGTATTTTCCTTGGATAAGCCTTAATAATTATTTATGAGAGATATGGATCAACAGTTGTTTATATCTTTTATGCATGAGTTGCATTTTTTCCTCTTTAAATAAATATTAAGAATAAAAAAACTGAATATTTAAGATATCTTTATTTTAGTTTATATGCATCATTTTTGTCCCATGTAATGCAAATTTTGCATATTTAGTCATAAAAATTAGATCTAAGAACATGCTTAATATGCAATGTTTACTTGCCTGTGGTAAAAGTGCCTTTGTGGAGGATTTTCTAAGGAAACTAATTCTGCTTACTTTACTGAAGGGGAAAACCATGGAGGCCTTCATACAACCAAGATATTCAGCTGTTAAAATCAAACTTGATAAACTTCAAAGGCTCAATGTTTCAGTCACTCAGCTGCTGTTCAGCATTTGTATTTTGAATATCTCTAATTAATTAAGCCCAAATTTAGTACATGCATTTTGGTCCATTTTTCTTTATTAGTAATTATTTTGTAATTTATTTAGTTATAATTTTTTTTTAAATTTGTTATCGGTCTAGTATATACAGGATTTACCTGTAAGTTAATGAGACTAGCTGCTGCGTGCACTCCAGTCACCAGCTGCACACTTCCCTGTAGCAGGATTTGTGGTGGGAGGTCTAAGCTAAGCAATGCAGCAGGCAATAGTTATGTCTGGGCTCTGATGCAGTGAGAATCTTGCGTAGCGCAAAAACTGTTTTTGAGTTTTGTCACAATAGAACACTTTAAAAATGGAGTGTTCACTGGAGCAGTGTTATGTAATTAAATTCTGCTTTCAGCTGAACAAAACTGCTTCCAAGATGTTTGATTAAAGAAAATACCCTGTCGGAGATCCAGTCTTTCTATCGGAGGTTCAGTGAGTTTAAGAATGGATGGAAGACTGTTGAAGACTTGTAATGATCTGGATGCCCTTCATTGAGCGGTTTGGACAAAAATGTGGCTGGAGTAAACAATTTCCTGTACTCTGACTGTCATTTGAGTGATTAATTGCCAAAGACCTCAACATGTGCAAAACAATGGTTCACAAACTTATTTGTGAAAGTTTGAACATGCAGAAGGATTCCAATTTCAAAGTGGCATACCTCAATCTCCTTGCATCCCAAGAAAGCGACAATGTTGAACTCCAAGGAAAGGAAAAGATTCATTGTCATTTTTTACAAGCGTGTAGTGGTTCACAAAGAATTTGTCTGAGCCAAACCATAATCCTGTTTTTTACAGAAAAGTCCTTGCACATCTGCATAGAGCCGTGAAACAGAAATGACTGGAAATTGCTGATTGCTAGAAACTCTACCACAACAGCGCTTCAGCTCGCACAGCCTTCATTGTGACTGCCTACTTGCCCTAGATAGAAATTGCACCCTTTCTGCAACCATCATGCAGCCCTGATGTGAGCCTGGCAGTGTTTTTCCTGTTCTCAAAGCTCAAAAGAAGCCTGAAAGGTCACCATTTTAAAGATATTCCCACCATTCAATGGGCTGTCACTCCCTCAAAGTCAGAGAAGAGTCTCTGAAGGAAGTTATGGCATCTGACTTTATAGAGAGCTTTTGCAGCATCAGAATCACATTGGCAGCAGCGTATTGACGTCGAAAGAGACTATACCGAAGAATTTTAACAGTATGTACTAATCAAAGTAGTCATTTTTCTTTATTAGACCCAATCTCATTACTTTATGGACAAACCCTGTATTCATGACCTGGTGACACTTCCCTTTTAAAGTAATGATCAGATAGTCCAGTTCTTTGTTATATATTCTTGAACTAAAGGGTTAATAACAAGTGAATTGAAATTATTGAATTCTAGTTATTTCCTTAGAACTCATGTATATAATCGTCTGTTGCTTTAATGTTTAATTATTTCAGAAGTTTCAAATGTGTTTAAATTTATATGTGTGAATTTTAATAATCTGTTGCTTTAATGTTTAATTATTTCAGAAGTTTAAAATTTGCTTAAATTTATATGCATGAATTTTAATAATAAAATAAAATAATTACTATAGGTAAATTTGCTTAAAAAAATTATACTTTACTTTGATGTAACAAAAGAAGAAAAAAGAAAAATTATGGAGGAACTTTTATTGAAGGAATTTGAAGAACTTGGAAGTAAGCTTACAATTAAAGTGGAAGATAATGTTGAGGTAAATTTTGCTTATTCATTTTTTTATGTGACTTTTCTAAGCTGTAGTATGCGCAATCAGGGCAATGAATCAAAATTATCTTTTTTAAAATCCAAACTATATTTATTGATTTCCTTAAAATTTTTGTAAATAATTGTGTAAAAGATGATAGTCGAAATTCATCAGCTTTTTAAAGCACAATTTGAGATTATCCTTGCAACAGATGAGCTATGATTTGAGGTTAATTGTGCAGCTATCCCTTGCAAAAGCTATTCTTAATCATCATTATTACATAGAATGGTGTTGCTACTAACTGCATGGGTGCAGAATAGAATAGTATAACTTTGAGTGATCAATCTCTTTTTGTCCTACCAATGATGGTCATTATGCAAAATTCTGAAGGTAAAGTGGTCATTCCTATACCATTGTAGAACAGCATAACGTCTATCAGCATGGCACTTATTTATTTTATGATTTGGGATGTTATTTGGTCACTTGTTGTAGACATCATAGGCACATTGATGTCTTGCCATTATATTGGTAAAGTGCTGCAGCTCCTGGAATTATCATATTTACTAGCATTTCATTCCATTCCACTTGCACATTTCCATTTTTTAGCAGGATAATATCCAATTGCATACAACTCAGGTAAACTTAAATGCTTTGCAAGGTACATAGATGCTTTTTAGTGTGCACAATTCCCAATCAGTTATGAATCAAGAATCTGTAGGAACTAAATTAGACATGCAATGTATACTCTCCCATCCTTATGAAATAAGAGGAAGTAGGGACTCCATTGAACATCACATAGTCCGTGATACTTCAGGATATTATTTAGCCATCTACTGAATCACTACCATTGGATTTAACTTAATCAAACCTAAATTATTCCAAATATTTATGAATTTAATATTTTGATATTTTCCTATTTATGCCACTAGATGTTCAAAAAAGAAATACAAAAACACAATCCCAAGCTTTCAAACTGAATTTTTTTAAGTCAAATAGTAATTTTATTTAATGGTAAAGACCATTTTATCAATTGGCAATAGTAGGTATTTTTTCTTATTTATTATTTTCCATGCTAAAATTGCTGTTTAAAACTTTGTCTGTAACCTGAGTGTTTAGGTTATAATTAGTCTTCATAAACATTTAGTGCATGAAGATTAATTATATCCATATAGGCAGATTATGTCTTCATGATGTTATGATTATATCTTCATAGTCAGAGACAGACAGAGGATTAATTATGCCCTCCTTCTAGAACACAAACATATCAATGTGCCAATAGTAAACTATCATTAACTAGTATGGTAAGCATTATAAAATGCACAGCTTGAAATGCAAAAAATTTATTATTTAGAATTATTTATCATTTTAATTATTAATTTATAATTATTACTATTTAGTGTTGAATCAATTTTTATTCAAACTTTTTTTCATTGTCCTCACTTAACAATAAAAACTTACCATCATGAAATTTTACTTTTTTAACACTTACAAAGATTTTAAAAAATAATCTTCCAAATGAGTTTATTCCTAACACTTACTGATTTTTGGCTATTTTTTCAAGATCAATCACTGTTTTTATCATTCTATCTGTAATATTTTTGAATTCTAATTTTGATGAATATATTAGCCATAAGTTATAAGAATGATTCTATGTTTTCTTTTGAAACAATAATGAGAGAAAATATGAGATTATTTTCTATTTTTTCACTATCATGTTATGATAACTCAAATATTATATTTCATTTCTTACTCTCTTCAATTAGAAATGGCAAGATATTCCTTATTTTTCTTTCATGTATATGTATGTGCAAATAAATTATCATTTCCTTAATGCAGATGTAGTGTTTTATTTTCTTTTGGTTTTAGATTTTTTTTTAAACTTCTGTACTCTTTTTCAGTGCATTATATGATATAAAGAATAGGCATAATAGTAGTATATTATAATAGTGAACTTTTATAATTTCAAATACCAGTATGAAAAATATATATGTATATTTCAGGATGTGAAAATCGAAAAGAAAGAAGATGAAGATATTCTACCTGCAAAGTCTGAGGTTTGCCTTTGATTAAACAGAAAATCTGATACAATTTTGTGGTGTCATTAAAATAATGCTAGTTTATATATGAATTGCATTGTTTGAATGTATGACAGAAATCTGTCAGTTTGTTAAGTTCTGAGATCTCTTTGCTTTTATTTATGACCAGCACATAAATTCTATTGCTGTTTCTTTTATTTTAGCACTTTTAATATTTTTTAATTTTTTAAATGTATATTTTTGTAACTGAAAATATTACAGATTCCTTTTTAAAAATGAAATATATAATTAGTAAGAAAATTATGTATTTTTTAATAAGTTTATTCAAATGAATTGGAAATACTGCATTTCTAAACTTACCTAATGCATCAAATTATGGAATTCTTAGACTTTCTTGAACAGCATATTTGTGTGGAATTTGTAAAGTAAACTTTGTCTGTTTTCACACTTTGTTAATGGAAATGCTTTATCTTCAAAAGTAATCTGTAATAATATCTAATCACATACAACTCATCAGTTTAAATGCTTTGCAAGGCACATGGATGATTTTTTGGTCTGCACAACTCCCAATCTGTTATCAATTAAGAATCTATAGGAACTGAATTAGAACTGTAAACTAATCTATGGTAGTAAAAATTGGGTGTATGATATTATATAATATAATATTTGAAAAAGAGAAAACATACATAGAAATTAAAATAATTTTTTTAAAAAGGGAAAAAATATATAAATGATGAGAATTTGGATTATAATTTATCAATCTATGAGAGTATTACATTTTAATGTTTTTGCTCTGAAGCTTTTTTGAAAGTTATGTAAATATTTTTTTACAAAATGTTTTATTAGAACTGGCAAAGAGACAAAAACCATGTTAATTTAAAAGATAAATTTTGACTGCTCCTAGTAGTTTAATTAAATTTATTGTAGTACCTTGAAAGGAAAGTTAAAAACATGAAATTTTGCTTTAAGTAATCTCGAAATGACTTTTATACTTTATTTGCAGCTTTTAAAGTTAGCAAATATCTTAGTGAATCCATTAGCAAATACTTTAAACTGCCATACTGATGTTTAACTAATTAATATTTATTGATGTTAATAATTCCTATTGTTAACCTTAATGAGATTGTTTTTAACTGCTTATTTAAAACTCGGAATGTTTCTCAAATATTGAATTTATTTATTTTTATAAGTAGTTGGATTTAAATATCAAGTAACATTGCTGATTTTTAATAATTTAATAAATAATCCTGAAACCTAAATAAATTAATTTAACACTTTATGTAACTCATTGTTACTTATACTCCCTTTTTCATATAATATTTAGACATTTGTGAATCGTGTATATGAAGTAAAAGTTCAAGAAATTGAAGAAGAAGTTACTTCAAAAAGAAAGAAAATTAATGATGTTATAATGAATAGGAAAGCAATTATGGAAGATATCATAAAATTAAGGAAACAAGAAATGGAAGACCATGTTATTTTAAAAGAGAAAGAAATGCGACGTGTGATCGATTCCATCAAGATAAAAGTATATTTTTATATTGTATTTCCCTTTAATATTTAATACAGATATATAAGCTATTTAACAGAGATTGGCAACCATTTATTAATGCTGTGCCAAAGTAATGTCAACATGACATTATTTTGGCACAGTCTCTGGCAAGTCTGAAATCAGAAATCGATCTTGTGTACTATGCTCACCATGTTTTTATTTACAGCAATCACTGAAGCATATTAAATTGATATTTTATTAATGTATTCCCAAATGCATTAAATAATTTTAGTGCTCTTTGTCGATTTTTCAGTATTTTAATGTAGAATTTGAACAAATATAAGAACTTTTCGAAGCTCTATTCAATCAGTGTGCCACTTTGGGCACACCCACAGAATTAACCCCCTTAACTGCCGCGGGCGTATTTATACGCCTTGCTCAGCCGATGCGTTAACTGCCCCAGGCGTATATATACGTCCTTCCAAACTGCTATCATTTGCTTTGCGCTGCTACACCTAAAATTATTCGCAAAGTTAACGCATCGGCTGAGCAAGGCGTATATATACGCCCGCGGCAGTTAAGGGGAAACGATAAGTTCTATCTTAACAAAATTTTACTTGTGTACTCCTCTAGGCCTAATTAGACTGCCTACCTTTTTTTTTTAAATCAAAACTTCAACTTTAAAAGGTAGCGTGTCGGAAAGGATTAAACAGCATGTTGCTATTTAAGGTATTCTATTAGCTTTAAAAAACTCTACTTGATTATTTAAATAATTATTACTTTTTCCTTAACCTCTCCACAGCAGTGATGAAAAGAATCAGTAAGTAAGTGCATCTTAAATTGTAAAATGTATCATACATATGTAAGGAGAATTTGAGTCTAATCTTGATAAAGGTACCTTCTGAAAAAATTTTAATGAAATTTCTTGTGGAACAAGGTATAGAGAACCCAAACCAATAGGTCTGTTGATATAAACACTGATTTCAATAAGCTTGCAAAATGTATTATACAATAAATATATAATTTGATTTTGGTCTTAATACATTTATGGAAGTGGTGTCAGAAATATCTAAAGATGGTTGTGCTACTTAATGAAATTCGTCATACTGTTACGAAATGTACAGGCGTGGTAAGATGGCTTCCCCGCAAAGCAGGTTTAGGCAATAAAATGGCAAGAAATCGCCCATTTGGCGACAAAATTGGCGATATATCATGGACGGATGGAGAACCTTCTGGAACGAATTCTTACCAATTTAGCCCAGAATATTCTCGAACACAAGCCGAAAGCTGTATAAACCCTGCTGGTCCCTTGCCATTTTATGGCAATCCTAAAACTGCTTTGCGGGGAAGCCATCTTACCGCGCCTGTACATTTCGTAACAATACTTTGTTACAAAATGGTATAATAATATTCATGACAACTTCATAGATATATCAATCAAGTCTGCATTGTTTATCATACATCCTAGTATTGGACAGCTTTTCTACCATACTGAGTAAATTAAATATGTATAAAGTGCATAAAAAATATTTGCATCTATTGTAAATACTTCTGCCTTAAATCCAGAATAAGAATTCTTCATCACATCCCTACCTGGAATTAAGTATATAGCTCAAATCACATTACTTTATACAAGTTGTGTTTCTACACTTTAACATTTAAGAATGCAATGAAATAATGCATAATGTCTGAACCATGGTTCACTTTTTATAATAAAGTAAAAAATGAAAAACAAAAACTGTGTTGATCTAGCAGAGAGTTTAAACATATAACTGTATGGAATATATGATAATTCACATAGCTGCCAATTGATAGTGTGAAAAACTGGGAGTTTCCTGGAAGCTTTTGTGCTGCATTTTAAACGATCTCTAAATTGATATAAATTCACTTTATAATGCTTGATTCAGATCATTGTACTATTTATATGATTGTCATGTAAAATATATTAATATTTAATTGGATATATCCAATGTTATGCTCTTTGGCGTATTTCGTTTCGTAGTTTTTTATACTTATTTACCGAGAAAACCCTGAGTAGGAAGAAGGCTTTTGTTCATAAAAGTACTACTTTATATATGTCAAAAATAAAATTCATAAATAATGTGCATATGATCATGTAGAGAACCTTAAGAATAGATCATATATTAATGCAAAACAAAATTAAATACAAATATTAACTGATTGATTATTTCTTGAATCTTCATGAAATGTTCTACAAATAACTGGAAAGAAGATCACAATGGTTAGTACCACACAACATGTACTTCCACATTACCTTGAAGAAGTATGCTGGATATACTTTTGAAAAGAGATGATTGTTTTTTGGTCATACTGCTCAATATTCATAATTTATATGGCCGAATGACTAAAACAACTGCTCTTAAAGGACACTCCTGCTTTTGCTTTTTAAGATTTGAAGGAATTAATTATTTGAATTAGTAGATTGGCATTTCTGTTATTGTAACTGTTTAAGAATTATGTCTATCATTAGGAAATAATAAATAGCAAAATATAAAATTCAAATTCTGTTTTTAATATGGGATGTGTCATGCTTAATAGTGATCAAACTGCAGATTTGCTACGATACATATGTATAGCAATAGTATTATTATTATTTTATAATTGTTTTATTTACATTGCCTATAAATTTATTCTATATCTTTGAAGGGTTCACATCCAGTCTGTACTCTTCAGGATCTTTTTAATAAAATAGTGGATTTGAAAGAAAAGCAAGAAACTCCGCAGTTTCATAGCAAAAATAAGAAAATTTTAAATGAAGAATTTCAGGTTTGCATAGGCTTGTTAATTTTTTTAATTGGTCTTCATTTAATGTACATATGTAGTGATTTGCTTACAGAACAGTTTTAGTCCAATTGCCATTTTTGATCAGTTTTCAGTATTTTAGCGTTTGAAAATGCAATGTAAATGTAATTTTATATGAATATAATTTGATTTGCACAAAATTATTTAGATGTGCAACTAAATATATTACAGTATACAGGAAATGTAAAGTTTATATTATAAAACTGAATTTTTTGAAGTATCATCATTAATTATATTAATAAAGAAGCAAATACATTTTTCTATGTATTGACCATTAAAGTCTTATATCAGAAACTGCTGAAATAAAATTGTGTTTTGAATCTCCCCTGTCCTTCTACAAGTTTCTTAATTATAATATTTTTATTATTCTTTGTTTTTTAGACAATTAATATATCCATAAGTTTAAGAAACTTCATGGATGTTGCACTTAATTTAAAAGAAGAAGAACTAGAAATGCTGAAACAATCCAAACATAAAGACATAGAGAAATCATTGAATTTAATGAGGAAAGAACTTGATGGTGCCATCTTTAATGCAAAAGGAAAACTTGAAGAGGCACTTAAAGCCTATCATCAACATGAGGTTTGTTTAAGCTGGACTCATGCATTTCAAATAGATATATTCGATTACTTACTTCTCCTCCCTTTTTTTTTACTATTTTGCTGATACGTGTATTTTATAAATCTTAATTGTTAGAATAATTTGTTAAAATTAGTTTTATTTTAATAAATTAAATTTTTGCTTTTATTTAGAAATATCTTTTAATCCAGGTTTTAATTTTTTATTTTTTAATTATTTGCATTTAGAAAGCAATAACTAATATTTTGAATATTTAATTTTCACATGTAATGTAATACAATGATGTAAGAAATGTGATACCATTTGACTAAAAATATTGGAAGTCAAATATTTTATATTTTGCCTATGTCTAATTTGAACTGAGTAAGGCCACACGTAATAAAAGGAATTCATGCATTAATATTACTTATTATAAAGGCATTCATGACAGTGGTGCTTAAACTGGATTTTGTTGCAGGTGAATTTTGAATTTTGCTGAAAAGTCTAGCTTTTTATTGATTTTTTCTCCTGTACAAATTTTATTTTAAGTATTCAGACTTGCATGATGATACACTGAATATAAAATAATAAAAATTTTAAAACAAAAGAGTTAAAATAATGAAGACAAAAATTATAGAATTTATTGTCTTTGTCAGATATTTTAGCCTCACAGAAACTTCATCTTGAATTATACACAGGGAGGTATTTAAGGGTAATTTATTAAAGGGCTGTATTTCTTTGTTTAAAGCATCTCATATAAATATTTTTGTCAAATAAATCTTTTTCATGCAATATATAAGAAATTTAAAACAGTTATACGACTTTTTACGAAATTATTTCAAATAATATTACGAAACTAGCGGGCTGTGGCCAAAACAAAATTTATAGGTTCTATGTACACCGGAAGAGAAAATTTGTAAAGCATATAAATGTTTTATACATTTCTATATGTTTATACAGAAAATGTATAAACATATAAAAGCATTTCAATATGAATGAAATCAGTTCATTCTTTCTAAGCAACAACCAATTTGCAAATAGTTTGTTTGCTGCCAAACCAGGAAACAAAAACTTTTGATTAGTGCAAAAATTAGTGTTTGCAGAGTTTTTAATTAATACATCAGCTGAATAAAGTCGTAAAATGATGAGAATGGTCAAAATGGTTTCCCACAATTTTTGGAATCTGGAGGTGTACCCTCTCTCGAAACTGAACTACTCGTCATTCCAGAGAAGTTGATGCCACAAACAGACAGACAGATGCACGCAGATTTTAGTAGTGTAGATTGTTTGAATTAAACATAAATATAAAAGAAAATATTGAAAAGTTTAACATTTATAGGTTTAAAAATTAAAATCAAAAACTTGGAAATAAAACTTGCATTCAGGCAATTTGTGTCATTTTCAAATTCTGATTTTTTTTTTTTTTTTAAGTAATGAATTTATTCATAAATAATTGATTTTCTTTCTGTGTGTTGTAGAAGTCTAGAGCAATGGAATATGCCACAGCTTCAGGAAAGTCTAAAATTCAGTCAAAGGTTTGTATTTGGTTATTCTCTCTTTTTTGCATATTTTTTCTATATATTGTACAATATCCAAGATCCAGACTCACCAGGACCTTGGCAATTCCAGATTTCAGATTTTTCTGGATATTAGACCATCAATTCAAATCTAGTAAAATGACATTTAGATATTATAAAATAAAAAATATGAAACAGTGCTTTATGAAATAATAGAGCATTTATGACCTTAAGAGAATTTTAAAAAAATAATTAAAGGAGCTTAAATTTTATATATTTGCATTATTAAAAGTATCTTCAATGCAAGTTGTTTAATTTGTTTCATTTTTTGGGCTAACATTTTCCCTTTAATTCTATGCAAATATGCAATTTCTTCATTTACAAAATTCCATTGTTCAAGTTCTATAAATGCTACGTTCAGAATTCCCAATTAAACTGTATATCAAATTTTTTTCATTCTCAATAACCTCTCTGTCTGTTTCTTCACTATCAGTAACAATAATTGTTAGATTCAGACCATACTGCAGATTTTACCATCTGTTAGTTGATTGATGATTTTGGCATTGTCATCGCAATGAAAAACTTAATTATATCATCTTCGCTCATTACCACTCACTTATTATTATTAATATAGAGAACTATATTTCTTCATAAATTCCATTAATTGAAAAATTTCACATTTTGTTTGCTATATTTGAGAACTTTCAAATCTGTGGCTATCATCATAAAGCCTTGCTAGCGTCTGCTTTACACTATTGATGATATATCATGAGATTGGGGACTAAAGATATGATGTTCCGCTAAATTTTGCATTGTTCGTATTGCATGCTGATGAAGTTAAGCCTGAATTATGTTAGTTATTTATTATATTCATGCTTTTTTTGCATTGTATTTTCCTGGTAATGGACAGCAAAGCAACTTAAATATAATTCTAAAGATCTTTTAATGTCGCTGAAAGTATATAAACATAAACATTGTCTTTAACATTATCTCAAAAGGGGCGACTCTGATTATAAGGTTGAAAGAACTTTATGGCCATCTGAACAATGATAATCATCTTCACCATGTCAATTAATCCTACTGCATGGAAGGTGATCATTTAGAAATATAGTTATATAGAACTCCACTTTGCTGGAACGCAGAATTTTCTGAGTCATCTTTCATTTGAAAAAATAATGACAATTCTAATACGTTAAAAGGTGTAACTTACCTTTCAGAGTATTCTCAAAGAAAATATATGGTTTGTATAGTTATGTCTCTGAAACTGAACTAAAAATGTTTATTTTTGGGTGCATCTCATTTGTGTTCAATGAGAACAGAAATGTTTTCCTTCCCATGTATCTAGTTGTGATGGATTTATTATTCTGAATTAATGAAACATCACTTTGTCATTGAATAATAGAGGGGCAGTAAAATAATTGTCTCTCAGTGTTTCTTACATGTAATTGCAAAATTTATGTAGCTTCATTTTCAACTGATTTGTAAACTTGCTATTTTGAAAATGGAACTGATCTGCTACACTATGTATCACAAGAACATTTACATATACAAATTTTAAAATATCTCTTTTATTGCAAGATTATCAAGCATAGTTTGGATCTACAACTTGGAATCACAGGATTTGAAACCCAGGAAATCATTTTTAATAGTTCTAGGCAATAATTTTATGTTACCTATGCTTACTTATATTACAAAGATGACTATCTCTGAGTAAGAATGCTGTGATTTTGAACTACATTTTCCTATTTCAATCTTTACTAAAACAAAAGGCACCCATTTTTATATCTGTATAAGAGAAGCTTTAACTTTATTTCATTGAAAATTAAAAATCTGATCAGTAATAAATTTTGTGATGTCTAATAGAATGGTTTTCATATTATATGATGTATTATTTATAAAATGTATTGTAATGTATATTCCGGTTGTTATGCAAAATTATCATCTTAGTAGCATACGAGTTTAAAATATATTTTACAGGAATATATAATCAATGAAGAGGAGATTTTTCCAGATGTTGGATATTTTAAAGAAGCCATAAAAAAGTTTGAATCATCTGCAAAGTCTCAAGCAAAACAAAAAGTTTCTCATTTTTGTCGATATTTGTTTTTTAATATTATCTTTTTGTGAAAATGCATTATATTTTCTATTATGTAGTGCTAATAAAGTTCTCCTTTCCCTAGGATTTATCATTTTCTACAGAACAAATTATTAGAAATAAAATTTCACGTACTGCATTGTCTAAGAAATTACAATCAGTGCAAAATGTAGCTGAGCCCCTTTTGAAATTATTTCAAATGGAAGTGGAATCTCTTAAAAAAGTATGTATATATATATATATATATATATGTAAAAGAATGCATGTAATAAAACTTTAAAATTGTCTTTTAATTATTTGCATGTTCAAATGAACATGTACAATATTTTATTTTACTGCATTCAAAAATTTCATTTTAATAAATTTTATCTCTCTTTATTCTGTTTAAGTTTTTCATTTATTAATTTAGTTTTGCTTTTTATAAGGTTATTCATATATGAAGATTACATTTTACATTAATGATCATCTATAATTAAAAAGTTAAAAATCCAAATTGATAAATGTGTTTTGTTAGTTGACAAAACTGAAGTTTAGGATGACTAATTTAAGACAAAAGTAGAGAAATACTTTAAACCGCAAGCCAAAAAAGGTCTTTTTTAGCATATTTTGTGAGCAGGGCTGTTGCAAGGTGTGATAGTGCTTGTGTGACAATCTTTTGTGGTCCTCTTACTGTTTTCCAGGACACGACGGGGGCACACCTCTCTTTAGTAGTTTTTTTTTAAATGACAATTTGAGATGGCATTAATATCATGTTTTTTAATTTAAAGAAGCACCAAATGGTGAACACTGGGTCATGATGGCCCAGCATGTGAGTCAGCCAATGAATTATAAAATGTACATGTAAATTTCTAGGAATATGAAACAAAATTTTTTATAAATTTGGAGACATTTTTAGGCTATCATGCAATCTACCGATTTTAGTTGGTTATTTATTTCTAAGATGGCACCACTGAAACACTATTTTGAAATTCAAATGTGCAATAAAATGGCAGGGAAAAATAATATTATTAATTTATATATACCTAATGTGAAATGAAATTCTCAAATATACATTTTCGATTATTTCATCCAAATTACGTTCAAACTTACTTGTAGCAATCCTTAATATCAACTACAAATTTTTATCAATAATATATGACTGATGTTTATCTTTCATGTACTTTATTAACGAAAAAGTTTTTTTGCATTAATATGTCGATCGAAATAAGCTGACAGTTTGCAGTTTTGCCGGTTCTTGACTTCCTGCTTCCTACAGATAGATGTAAGATTCTAATAACAGGGAATGATACATAGACAGAGGATGTCAAAGAATAGATATCATAATCATTTGAAGGTTTTAGAAACCTACAATAGAAAATGTGCCTAAAGTAAGACAAAAAAATTCTGGAAACATAGTCAACTATCATGAGTTAAATTATCCTTTTTTATTAAGCTGTCAATATAATGAGACTTTTTTCTGTTATGCTAAAAAGAATGGTCAAATTCAAAATTTAAAGTGCAAAATCTTTACAAAATTCATGATGAAAAACCACAATCTGAAATTTTCAAAAAAACTACAATATTCTTGTAGCAATTATCATCACATCTGTGAAAAGATAAAGATAGATATATTCAGCATTTCAATTTTCTGTTAAACCTTCCAGAAAGATAGCAGGCATAAGTTATTTGGATAAGGCAAAATGCACAAGGACTATCTTGTGTAACCTTTGTAGAGGAGTTTCTAAGGGAAAATGTCTCATATTCATGTTACAAATGAAAAAAACTGCAATAAACTATCCATGCAGCCAACCTGTTTGCCTGATTGGAACCTGAATCAAAGTTCCAGTATTAGAGATTAAGAGTATCACGTTTTAATGATGTCAAAGTTTCTACACTGTTACGCTTTAAATCCCCAAGAGAAAAATTAATTCCTGTGTTTCAAATATCAAGTAAGTAAAGGATGACTTACACAATTTAAACAGCAACATCAAATTGTTTTCAAATCTGCGTGGAAAAAAAAAAGAGAGGTATTCCTTCAAATGAACTATCAAATATCATCAGAAAAATGATGAGGTGTAAAAGCTTGTGATATCTTGAATTATGATGAAACTGAGTTATTTTATCATGGCCTCTGGAAAAGACTTCAGCATTCAATAATGAAATGTGTACTAGCATGAGGCATAATAAAGAAAGGGTGACTGAGATGCTTTATAGTAATGCAGATGGTATAGAACAAGTGCTTTTTAAGATATACAATTTTTGCCAGCCAGTTCTGAAACAAATTTGAAAGCTTAGATTACCTGTTTGCTACTTTAAAGGTGATTACTTAGACTAGAATTTAATAATCAAAATCATGAAGTCTTGTTCATAGTAGATGAATGTGTATCTCATGAGAAATATATTTCTTCTTTTAAATTACATTTCTTTCCTCAAATTCAGCATAAGACCTTCAGCACAGCAGGGGTTTGTGTAAAATGCAATTTGGGAGGGGGGATCAGAAGCATTTCATTTGGAAATTCATTCACAGTATAGACCAATAGTTCTTTTACAAAGATTTTTATTTTGCAAGCAATTTAGATGATTTTCTTCTGACGCCCATGTAGAAACAGGCTGTGAAGGATAACAAGGTGGTTGATCTTTCAAATACATAAATAAATGCAGCATGAACTGAATAATGATCTTAGAATGCCCAAATATTTAGTAGATGAGAATATTTTAGTGCATATTGAAAACTTAAAATATTATTATTAGCTGATTTTGGTAAAGAAGTTGTGTTTGGACTGAAACTGACATTCCATTACCATCACATTCTAAAGCAATTTAAAAAATAGTATCAATGCTTTGGTATTTGCAAGAAGTAGAAAAATCCAAAGATACTATATCAAAATTAAATAGCATTAAAGCATTTTCATTTTTCTGAAAAAAAGAATGACTTTTACTAATAATAATGAATGACTTTATTAAAGAATTATTTTAATGATAATATTCACATTTAATGATAATATTTTTACTGCGGGGCCCACGGTCAAGAAAGCAGATTTCGGGCACAGCAGGCCTTGGCCCATTAAGGCTGTTACACCACTGAGTTTAGTTTTTTTATATTTAATTTAGTTAATATTTAAAAATAATATTAAACTCATATTAAATTTTAATTAAATTATACATGATTAATAAGATAAAAACTTATTAATAATGTAATTTATAATATATTTGTATTTTATTTTTATCTGTTTTTTGCCTATTGATATTTGTTTTGTCCATTGGGATATCTGCATACCAATAAAAACACATTGACTGAACAAGTCAGTTAATTTAACATTCCATTAGCATCTCCTGAGATGTTAAGCTTTTACCATGTAGTGATCAGTTTCATTTTTAGGTACTCTATGATATGGATGTAGACAAAGAGAAAGCTGTTTCACATGGGATATCTTTCACAGATGTTGAAGCGAGGTTGAAGGAATTATCTTCTAAAACTATTCAAAAGGTCAGATTAAAGAAAAATTTTGTGTGTATATATATTATTAAGAATAGTTTCTTAAAAATATTAAATTTTTACAAAAAAAAAAAAAATATATATTAAATTAATAGTTTAATTCTTAACCAATAAGCACAAATATAAATTTGTGTTTAGTCTTTGTGCAGCAGGTAAGTAGATATCCTTTTAGCCAAGTGAGTGTATAACAACAGTTATACTGCTCCCCATATTCAAAAACTGAGAAGAATTTATTTAACTTTATGTGAATTTTATGAGCTAAGTGTTATCAGGTATTTAATTTTCGAGCAATCTCCTGAGCACTTTGCTGAGAAGTTCATTCTTAAAGGGTTGTTTAGTTGAAAGTATTATTACTTTCATTTTTACATTTATTTTAACTGTATTAAAGGCTGTAGAACAACCTTTTCAAGTATACGATGCATAAAATATACAGGAGTCAATATTATTTCAAATACTGTACCATTAAATCTCGTTTAATCCTCTTCTTGCTAGGTATAGAAATTTTTGAGTAACTGGTTAAAACTTTTGTAATTTCTTTTTTTTTTTTAACATCTAATTTAACTTTTATCAAGTTTTAGTAAATCATATAAATATTTCTTTACAATCCCATCTAATACCTCTGTGCAGTTTTAGCAGAAAATCATCATAAATTGTCAGTTTTTAAACTAATTTTGAAAACTGTAAGGAAAACAGGTTTTTTTAAATTCCTTATGCCAAATGGTCATGGCTATTTGTTCTTTAATTTTTTCTGTTTCTTTTGCTACTTGAAATTCTACACTGTTTTAATTATGATGTTGAAACAGCTAAACCTCAACATATGTAAACCATGTTTTTCCATTATTGGTTCATTTTTATATCTTTCAAACCATTCAATAATTTTATTTTCTGAAAGCTCATCTAATGAATTTTTTAAAGGAGTACTTTTAACTGTTTTGAAAAACTCAGAATGATTGTTCATTGGGTCATCAATATTTTTGCTTCTTCACATTTTGTTAAAAGTTTTACAAAGCTTTTCTACCGTGTTGTGTTAAGGGCCAGTGCCAGAGCATGTGCAAGCAGTACAGCAGCACAGGGCAGCAGAATTCAGAGGGAGCAAAATTTTTAGAATTTTGGAAGGACCGGGTGACAAAAATTTGGAATCGCAGATTTTGCTCCAGGCAATAAAAAGTCTAGCATGGGCCCTGTGTTGTTTATATGCTTCTAGGCAACAGCAGCCTTAACAGTTGCATCTTTTGTATTGAACTGATTTTTAAAATCATTGATGCTGCAGTCAGATCAATTTTGTATAAATGAATTCCTATATATAAATTTAGAGTTCTGAATAACTGCTTCATTTCTAGTTTGGGTATCATTATCCAGCTTCTGACAGTTTTTTTATTTTAAATTGCAAATATTGCTGATGGCAGGAATGTTGATGAGAGAGGTGTCTCATTATCAAAAGGGCCAAAATCATTGGATACCTTACCATTGGACTTTTACTGTATTCAGAAAATCTAAATTTACAGGATGAAAAATGAGTTTTTTATTTTCCCATTTAAATTTTTTTAAGGAAAAATATCTTTATTTTTGAAGCTCTTTCTAGTTCATTTCACATACATCTATAGGAAATATTCCTTTGTTTAAATACAAGCTTACTAAATTATTTGCTGTCGCTATAAGATCGACATTATATATTTACGACTTATTACTTAATATCTTTACAACTTATGTATTTAATGAAGCATAGTGTTATCTTCTCGTATTGCAACAACAGCCTGTTAAAAGTAAATGCATTTATCTTGATAGATTTCAATTCTGGTATAAATATTTTACCACCATCCCAAAAAAAGAAGCAGCATAACCATCCATCAATATTTAAGAATAAAAATATATATTTATATATATTTGTATAATACAAAATATAAAACTTATAAATGATTACTAATGAATAAATTGTATGAATTATTAAAAAATTACATTGTAAAGATTATAATATAATTCTCATGTCATACTAATTATTTTGATTGCATTATTCATTCATTTATTGAAATTGGTTGTAACATTAGTTAATGTATTATTGAGGCATAAATATTTTGAATGAAATCCATCAATAATATAAGAAATTATTTATATGCTGGTCCTTTATTCCTGCGTTGCTAGTTAAATGATCAAAAATAGTGAGAGGTAAAAATATGAAGCACATTACATCATGATAATTAAGAAGCATTTGCCACCTAACCAAGTGCATACAATCCATTCTTTTATAAGTATGATAAAATTAAAAAAAATCATATATTTTTCCTTTAAAAAAGCTAAATAAAACATAAAATAGTAGTTTACTCATATAATATGGTTATTATTTGTCCTGGAACCATACAGTTAGAAAAGGTACAATGTCTCACAAAAATCATCAGTCACTATAATTTTTTTTATTTATTTTCTAAGCAATGGGAAAAAAGCTTTGAAATAAAATAATAAAGAATATTTTTCCTTTGAATGCATTATTTTCTTAGATCTTTCTTTGTACTAAATAAATTTGAAAAAATTAAATAGTCAATTTAAAAAGTAGTGTTTTCTGCTGAAAGGGGAAATAAATATACCACAAAATTAATTGGGCATTTTCATAATTTCTAATTAAAATCATCTGCAATAAATGCAAAGTGGCATAAGTTTGGATAAAGAAGCTAGTCAAAAATCGTTTGCTTTTACAATTTGAATTTTCTTTTTTTTTTTTAAATATATATATTCCTTGTTTTAACGTTTTCTTGCAACAGCTCCGTCACGAAAAGAAACATCATTAGAAACCTGCAGATTAGTTATTGATATGCGTGAAAAGAAAGATAAATTTATTATAAAAATGTCCTATTTATGCAATTTAAGTGAGTCTACAGTTTTTTATATTATTAAGCAGTATGAGAAACAGAATAGTATTCAAAACAAAAGAAGACCTGGAAAACCATCTAAGTTATTTGATGGAATGAAACTCTTTATTCTAAAGAATATTAAAAAGAATCCAAGACCGAGTGCTCCTGAACTTGTTGCAGAACTTGAATTATATGGAATACATGTAAATCTAGAAACTGTAAGAACAGTAATGTGATCTGCAGGATATCATAGGCGAGTAGCAAGAAGAAAATTTTTTGTCAGTAAAGAAAACTGAAATCTTCGACCCACTTTCGCAAAATCCCTCAAACAAAAAGACACACCTGATTATTGGAAAAATGTGTTGTTTGCTGATGAAAGCAAATTTAACATCTGAACAACTGCTGGTGTGGGAAAAATAACCAAAGAAAAATTTTGGAAGCAAAACTTAGTACCAAGTGTTAGACACAGGAGAGGAGGAGTTATGGAATGGGGATCTATAGCACATTCTGGTGTTGGTAATATGGAGTTTATAGATGGCATTATGGATAAGTATAAGTACCTTGACATTTTGAAACTAACAACACAAAGCATCAGCACAAAAACATAATATACAAAATAGTTTTAAATTCTACCAGGACAATGATCCAAAACATACTGTGCATAATGTTAGACTGTGGTAATGTAAGTGTCCAAAATTAATTAAGGCACCCACCCCAATCAACAGATCTTAATCCTATTGAACATATTTGGCAGGAACTAGAATCGAAAATTCGAAAACAGATCGTAGTTTCGCGGCAGCAACCGAAAACACTAATTCAAGAGGAGTGGCATAAAACAAATCCAGAAATAGAAATAACCTAATTAAAAGAAAAGTCAGTGCCCAAAAGATTAAATGAAGTGATTAAGTGTAAAGGTTATCCCACAAGATAATAAAAAGCAATGTATGTTTTCTTCATTTTTGGCTGTTACTAAAAGTGTCCAATTATTTTTGGGAGAATATTTTCCTCATTAAACAAATTACATTTGATTTTCATCTTTTCGAAAATGTAGTTACTATAAAAAAAAAGTGTTGAATTTATACATAATCAAAATAAAAGCTTTTCTTTTTGTTTTCATCAATTTTAGTTATTATGTTCATTAAAGAATACAAAAATTCAAAGTGTCCAATCATTTTTGTGAGCCACTGCAAACTCCAAAATTTTTCACTCTACATGTAGTTATACTAGATATGCAAAAGTAAGTTTAGGGTATAATGGGCTGAAATAATTTGTTATTTGTATCAAGATTCGTATTTTAGAGAGTAAATTCTTTCTTTTACCAGTTGTTTTATGCTTTTTTATTTCTTTTCAGGAAATTCTTTTAGATATCTCTGCAGTCTTAAACAAGAATACGAGTTTGCTGATGTTAGGTTGTTTTATGGATGACAAATGTGATATTGCATTAAATTTAGGTAAATAAGTTCTAGATAACATATTTTTTAATCTTATTTATTTAACTATAACTTGCGTTATTGAAAAACTAATATCAAAAGCAGATTGATGGGTTCAAGGTTTTATGAGATTATGTATTTTGATTTCTCTCATAAATTTCCTACAATATTTGCAGTAATGTTTAAGTTTAACAACCATGTTTAGGAATTTGTAGTGATGCAAATAGATTTCTTTTAGACATTAATAGAGTGTATAATATTTATTATTATTTTTTATTTTTAAAATCTCATAAGAATTTAGGCATTTAATGTCAAATATTGCTGAATGAAATGCTATATGTTTTAACTCATTTTTAAACTGAGTATTAGCAATAAAAATGACTTTGAAACCCATCTTTATGGATTTATGTTGCATTTTAACCCGGTGGAAGGCGCGCGCTAAACAGAGCACATTTTGGTCGCGCGGGGTACCTGTATAACCCCACCGATAAATTTAAGCTTAATTCAATATACACATATAAACTTAAGTGCAAATAAATTGAAAAGGTATAAAATACAGTTTTTTAGTATATTCTAAAGCATGAATATTAATTTGAAAATATATTTACGTTAATTTCTACTACTAATGTTTATAGGAAAAACTTACTCAATTACAAAATAAAAATCAGTTACATACCTTTATTGAATTTTAAACACATTTGTCACAAACATAATTAGAGTGATCCTTGCAAGTAAAATTTTGGCATTTCATACAAGAAATTGTTGTTTTTTTGTCCTTAGCTCGAGGACATATTGTACATCGTCCTTTACCAAGCTTCATTCTCTTTGGCAAGTTCTCTTCAGAAACGGCATTCCTTTCTGTTGAGAAATTCTGATTCATTTTCTCTCGTAATTCTCTGGGTAACATTTGCATATTTGATCTCCTCTTTATTTGTGGGTTTACGAGAGATAATGCCAATGTTTTCAAAAACATTCGTCTACTTTTATACTGCAAGGGAGGATTTTTAGTAGACATAAGTGACACTCGCGCGTTTATACCAGCCACGTTCAAAACACAGTAAAAAAATCACCATAGGGCCACCTGTTTGTTTTCCTAGCTGTTGAATAAAGCGTAGACATTTCATCAACAGTATCTACTCCTCCTTTCGTTCCATTGTAGAAATGGATTATTTCTGGCTTACTTTGTTCAGAGTTTTCATCTATCGTGTCATCATGATGCATTGTAGACAGAAGAACTACACATTTCGATTTCTTTGGAACATATGATACTAATGTCATGTCTTTTTGGAATCCAAACATGGAAGAATATACTTCTCTTTTCTTTGTTTCTAAAAATTCAGCAGGAATTACAGCTTTATTTTTCTTCAAAGTTCCCACTACAGTGAGTTTCTTTGATAGGAGCTCTTTTGCTAGCGGGTAACTTGTATACCAATTATCCATGGTTATATTCCTCCCAGATCCAAATAATGGAGCACAAAAGTCGTTTTACGATCTCAGATGGCGAATAATCAACTTTGAAAGGACCATCCGATTGTTTCCCCGCATAAATTTCCATATTATATGTATAATATGTCCTGGCATCGACTACGGCAAATAATTTAATTCCATATTTTGCCGGCTTTTTCGGCAATATACTGGCGAAAAGCACATCGGCCACGAAATTTCTCCAACTTTTCATCTATTGTAACATATTCACTAACTGAATATATTTCTTGACATTTTTTATTGAAAATCGCTGAAGAAATCTCTCACAGCTGCCAGCTTATCCAACTGTCTTCGAGCTTCGCGATCGTTTTACATTGTCTAATCTCAAGCACCTTAGAAGAAAAGTGAATCGTTTGTAAGACATTGTCTTTCGGAATAATTCAATTCCGGTGCCATCAGCGTCCCACAAGTCTTTTGCATTAGCATGAGAAGATTTATGCAATCCGCATAAATATAAAAGACCAAACAGTGCTCTCATCTCCACTTCATCTGTATGCCTAGCATCTCGACTCCGTTGAAAATTTTCGGATATTTTATCAATAAAAATATTGGTGCAGTCCACAATATTTTTTATAATATTGAAATCCATAAAAAGTTCCCAACTTTCAATTGGTTCCATAATACTTATTGCAACTGATTTCAGACCTGGTAAGTGGGTTATAATATTACAGGAACTGGTTCTTACCTTCTGATTCGGTTTACTTTTCTTCCAAACTGTTTTATTTTTTCCTATATAACTGTCACTTTTTTCATTAGATTCAAGCGTTTTATTTTCAGCTTCAAACTCACTGTCGCTGTCATGACTGCTATAAATTTCTTGATCTACTTCATTTTCACTAGCAGTATCCATTTCTTCATCGGAAGTTTCCACAGTATCCAATAACATTCTCAAGTGTTCCATTTCTTTTTCATAATCTGTCATTTTTCGTTTGAGAGCCATTTTCGAACGACTACAGTATAGCACACATGCACAATCTATGCAAGCAAGAAGCTAAAGTGAGAAATTCAGAACAAATCTGGTCACGGGGGTTCCCAGGTTACCCAGTTGCATGTAGCGTTCCAAGAAATGATTGCTCCTCCCCAACAAAAGAAAAACACCTGCTGCTGGCAGGTGCTTATTGAAAGAAAACCGTTTAAAAGTTAGCTACTGAAGGGGCTGATTCATAGCGGATAAATAAATAGAAATTCCAGAATGAAAGGTTTTATGAGGCTGGGGTGACTCAGTCACCCCGCGCGAGTGCTACCGGGTTAAATATTTTCCTGTTTTCACTAAAATATCATGCCTGAAATATTTCAATTAAATATATTTCATTAAAAATGCAAGAAAGGAAGTTTGTGTTTTAAAACAAAGTATTTAACATGGTTATATTTTTCAGTATTTTAATCAGATTTAAAGAAATCGGTACTTTTATATTATTAAATGCAATTTAGAAAATATTTTAAAAATTAAAAATAGAAATAAATAAAATAAATTTGTAATTATTTTCATGCTTTATTCTAATAGCTGCTTTGATTCTTGGCATAAAAGCATGCAGATAGTATTTTCTTCATGTTATTGAGTGTACTTCTTAACCTCAGTTATGTACAAATTTTCAGTCAAAATTTTATCAAAATCTTTACCTGACTAAGAAAGGAATTTTATTCGAAAATTTTGTGATTCTTTGATCTGATTTCAAAGATTGTTAGAGATAAAATGATAATCTATTTAAAAGTCAGTAAATTGTAAACTCATAGATTGAACCTGAAACTACTACCTTGAATTTTGTTGGATTTAAAATAGCTTTCTGATTACTGAAGTAAATTTTTCTTTTCTTTTCTCTCCCTATTTTGTTTTTATTTATTTTATTTTTTTTATTTAGAGATACTTTTTTTATGAATGTCCAACTCCAACAGGATTTAAATGTCTTCATTTCATATCATGTGATATATGATTAACAGCAAGAATTGTGCATTAATCTCTGTAACAGTTACCTTTCATATGCCAGATTGTAAGTACATATCATCTGTAAAATAAGTAAATGAAATTAATCAGAATTTTTCTTCCCTTTTTCAAATCTAGTTTTTTCTATTCTGCTTAAATCACTAATTGATTTTGATTTTCCTCTTAAATAATGAATCTTTTTCTGCTTTTCCATCAAGCATTTATGTTATTTGTTTGTATTATTGTTTTGTTCAAATGTCATTACACAGTTCACATGTTCACTTTATGACAACTTTTACTCAGATTCTATTTTCAGGTTTGAAACAATATTAAACTACTCTGTCATGTCAGTTTTCTATTATCTCTGGCAATTGCAGATCTTTCTTTTCCTTCAATTCTATATTCTGTTGAATTCCTGCACCATCCATTTTTGTTCTAAAAAGCTTCTTTCAGCATGTTCATTGAATTTATTGTTTTGCTTACAGTACAGTTTGAAAATCCTTTTTCATGCAAAGCAAAAATTGCACATTTATTTTCTTTAGTTGACCTTTTTTTATGGGAGGTCCCTCTTTGCTGTTATTTTCTTTAACTGTATGCTGTAACATTATTAGATGAAAGGAACTTTTAAGAAATAACAGTAAGTTAATAATTGTTATTCTATTGTTTTCTATATCTAATATTTTTCGGTGCTCAATTCATGTTCAGTTTAATGATAATGAAAAAAAATTAACTCAGGCCTCAAATAAAAAATAATAATAATAATAATAATAATAAAAAACATGGTCTTCGAATAAATAATCTTCATCTTTAAATCTTTACAGCACCATATTTGCAAAGACATAATTGGAATGTCTTTTGAATCATTTAAAACTGCTTTGGGGTGGTTGGGCCGCCCATTTGAGAACAATGTATTAAGGTATTCAGATACAAAACAACAAATCACTAAAAAATATGAATAAGGAAAAAATCATTTTGAATGCTGTCTCTTAACTTTTCTATTACTTCAAAACTGTGATTATATTTCTCTTAAACAGGAAAAAATTATGGTTTGGTTTATTTTGAAAAAACTGAAAAAATTGGAAAATGGACTGATACTGATGAAAAAGAGGTAATTTTCAATAACAAAATGAATTTTTATACTTAGTTAATAAAACTTTCAGCATCATGTCATAAGGTGCATATTTGATTTGTATAAAGGATTTACGGTATTAAAATTTAATTAATACAGAGTAAAATTTTATTTTGTAAATTTTAAAAGAAGAATTTTCTTTATAACTATTCAATGTTTCTGACATTTAAATAACTTATTTAATTAAAAAATATTGCGAATGTACAAGATCAAACAACACTTTTCTGTTGAAAATGTTTATTTCGTGCAATCATTCTGAGAGGGCTGTGAAAGAAAAGCTCTAAGGAGCTCTCTTAAATATATATATATACGTAAATTGATCCAAAAAAAAAGTTTACAAGCAGAAGCATTTGAAACGTAATAATTGTGGAGCGAATATTTCCACCCAGGGTGGTTGACAGATGGCACTAATTGTCCTATAGCGGTTCTACGAGTTTGTGGAACGAATATTTCCACCCAGGGTGGTTGACAGGTGGTGCTAGTTGTCCTACAGCGGTTCTACGAGTAAGTAGCATCAGTACGCAGACACTTAAGAGCGACAGTAATGGCACGACGTCTAGAAAAGTGGTCTCGCATAGAGGTGCGAGCCGTAATTTGATTCTTCTGGGCCAAGAATGTGGCTGCATCCGAAATTCACAGACAAATTGTTGAGGTATACGGGGACAAAGCAATGAGTAGACAACGGGTAGCGAAATGGTGTCCTTCTTATCAAGCGGGCAGGGAGCATGTGGAAAACCGCAATATGGAAGCAAGCAGCCGTCCAAGTTCTTCAAGGATGGATATCAACACGGCACATGTTGAAGAAATCATCCAAAGGGATCGACGAGTAACCGTGCTTGAGATTGCCTCAGAGTTGGACCTAAGTTATGGTAACGTTCAGCATATCATAACGGATCAGTTTCGATATTCCAAAGTTTGTGCCCACTGGGTTCCACGTGCATTGTCCGCGGAGCATAAGGCCACTCAAATGATGTGCAGCCTCACATTTCTTCAGCGATACCATTCAGACGGCCAACACTTCATTGATCGCATCATTACCAGTGATGAAACATGGTTTCATCACTTCACCCCCACATCCAAAAGAGCCACGATGGAGTGGAAACATGCTGGATCACCGACGAGGAAGAAGTTTAAGGTCACACCCTGTGCCAGTAAAGTGCTGGCAACCGTTTTCTGGGATATGGTGTTATCCTAATCGAGCATTTGGAGCGTGGCTATACCATTAAAGCCGATCGTTATTGTGCCGCCTTAACGAAATTGCGTAAAGCCATCCGATGCAAACAGCCTAGATTACTGAGCAAAGGCATCATTCTTCTGCATGACAATGCCAGGTCCCATACAGCTCAACTTAGAAATTGCTGCAAAGTTTCAAGTGGGAGGTCTGGAATCACCCCCCCCATACAGCCCCGATTTGGCTCCAAGTGACTATTTCATTTTTCTGGCGTTGAAGCAATACTTATCCGGAACACAGTTCACCTCAGATGATGCAGTGAAAACAGCTGCCGAGAAATGGCTCAATGAGCAGGGCCCTGATTACTACCAAGACGGGATAAACAAGTTGGTCGAATGTTCTGACAAATGCCTAAACAGGTTTGCCGACTATGTGGAAAAGTGAAGGCCAGATGTGTCCCTTGATTCCCATTTGTATCCTGTTTCTATTGTTAATAAATACTTTTACATTTGCCTTGTAAACTTTTTTTGGATCACCCCTTGAATATACATATGCATATATATTAATTTTTAGTACAAAAATATTCTGAGAAGAAATATCTGATTTATTCTACTGAGATGATAGAAGCAAAACTCCCTAACAAGCGGTAGCTGAAATTATTCTATAAACTGTTAAAACAGGGTCAACAAAACAAGAGACAAAGTATGAGAGTTACTATATGTTGTATACTCATTCCTAAATAGGAAATATAAAATCATATCTCTGTTGATTGGGAGAGTATATATTATTATTTATAGAATGTAATGAATATTATTACTGACAAGGAGGGTGATCCTCACTCCAAAATGGCGGCAAAGAAACTTCTAAAGATGCTGTCCTCTGTAAAACCTTAAAAGTCTTTACTTAATCGGGATCATCTTCACATACAATACATCCTTGAAACTAGAATCCCCATGTTTTTAATAAATGCAAGATTTGCCAGTTATTAAATTTAAAAAATAATAGATAGTATAAATAATTATTAAAAGGGAAGAGGAACGAGATCTTTGTACATATTTACATTAAATTTCTTATTGTAGTCATCCAACTATTACTTCCGATTAGGGTTTAAGTAATAATTATCATATCACTTTAGATGAGAAATTTTTAAAAAGTAGTTAATACCAGCTTTCTTTAAAGATATAGAAATTTTGAATAGAGGTTTTTTATTCTCTAAGAGAATTTTGATTAACTTGGTGATTTCTTCTTGTAAGTATTTGACATTGTTACAAATATTTTTATTCTAAGGAGCTGAGATATATGGAATTAAGTATTATTCTTTTGGAGTTTTATTAGAGTGCCAATGGATAAGTTTAATAGTAGGGAAATCAAAATCTCTTCTTTTGTCATAAATTTTATATCTTTAAAATTGATAATTTGCAGATTTAGGTAATTAATATCTCTTTGTTGAAAGTTAGTTTTATTGAGTTTCAAACATGAGGGATAAATGGGATCGTATTCTTCAACTTCAATCAAACAGAATCTTTCCAAATCAAAATATACTTAAAATCATTGCTTAGATTATACCTAGACTCCTCAGTAAACAGTACATGATCCCATTCCTCTAGTCTTCATTGAACATGATGATGATGATGATACCATCTTAAACAGATCCCTTTGGAAAATAAAGATAATAGGATACAAACGATTGGTTTTCTTGCAAGAAATCCAATCTTGTAAAGTCTTCATGTGGTAGTGAAATGGCTGATTTGTGCTCTTATGGCAGCCTGAAGATTTGAAAAAAACTCTGTTGTAGTCACTTCACAGTTTCTTCAAGTCAACAGTAACAGAAAACAGTCCTGAGATGCAGTTGTTCCTTTTAGCCTCTCTTGACCAGGCTGTATAATAACAATTTCACTGCACTTTGCACTTTGGCAGCTAAGGAAGATGGTTCGGTAGTTAAAGCATCGAAAGTAGTCCTGGAAAATTTGCAAATATAATGCTTATTTTTGTTGTTTGACTTCTAAAATAAATGTTATTAGTTGCCTAATTTGCATACTCTTTTCTCTAACCCTTGTGCAGGAGTCTGTTTTTGCATTGCAATCAACATAAATAATTACACCACTGAACACTGTTTAAAAATTTTAATCAGTGTGCATATTTTTTCTGATTATCCTTTAATTTTGGCAGGTCATGTGCTCTAGTAAAAGTAACTAAAAGTTTGCATCATTTGTTAACAGGTAGTTGCCACTGTTGTTCCATATCTCATGTAATTCATTAAGTTATTTAATTTGTGTCATATGCTGTTATACTGAATAATAATGTAGAATAATATTTAGGTAGCTGTTGAGGTTGGACTGCAAAACTTTGGATTAGATGATTGTTTAGATTCCATTACAACAAAATTTGATTTGGACGTTCCAACTGCACAGTATAGAAGTTCCAAGTTAGTTTCTAACATACAAGTTAACTTTTTCGCATCTTCCATTGATTGTAAATAAGTTATTTAATTGAATGATTTATTATTTTTTCCATAGGTTTGAAAAATTTATTACTGATGCTGGTTTGCTTCAGCAAATCCGATTTGTATTTTTAGAACTGCACCATCTACATTTACTCTGTAGGAGATGTAATTTAGAGCAGTCCTTCCAAGATATTGGCATACCATTTGAAAATGTGCTCCAACTTCTTTGGTAAGTTATTTCTATTCTATACATACTGCTACTATGAAGTAAAAATAGTTTGAATTTTGCTGTTATTCTATGTTCATTTTGAAATGCAATTGTCTATGGTGATATAAATTAATAAATAATAAGATTCTAAGTTTAAAATAAATGTAAATGAAAACACAGTTGACTTCTGTCTTAAAACTTGAATAGAATTTCTTGAAATTTCTTGAACTTATAACTTGAAAGTTATAATAGAATACATGATTCTTATCTCAAAATATACTTTATTGCTATCTGCATTTTTAATCCTTTTTCCTATCGCAAGCATTTTACATTTTTGTTGACTAGTTAAAAATTACTCCCTTTGTTCTTATTGGATACTTTTCAAACTGCCTACATATTCCTTCACCTTCTAATTCTCCTCAAAAATATCTTCTATAAGTGGTGCTGAGGCAAATGAGAGAAAAAAAAGTCATAGTCGATGATTATTGCTTCAATTATTTTTGGAAAGATAAACTTAAATTCTTTGCTTCTGATAGTGCATCCAATATTTTCATCTTGTTTGCAATGACAAAATCTGTAGATTTGCACCTGTTGCGTTGAATTAAAATTATCCTCAAGTAAAATTATGTGCCACATTTTCTGGTTCCAGCTCAGAATTCACTTTGAGTATGGTAGCATGGTTTCTGAGAACAATTTTTACATGTGATACAGTATTTCAAGCAATGTGGATAAAATCAGTAGTGATCTTCACATCAGATTTTATCTCTTGACATGTATCTTTATTCAAAATGATCAGCTTTACTAGTCCTTTCTGATAATAGGCTTACTCAAGAGTTGTTGCTGAGAAATGGTTTTGGTGATAAATGCAGTTCAGATGAGGTTTAGAAAAATTTTGTGCATTAGCATTATAGAAATTTCTTCGACAGAACATTATTAAAGATTTGAAAAAAAAAACAATTCTTCTGTTTCTCCCAGTTTTTCAGATTTCATATAAGAATTTAGTAAAGTCTTTCTGTTCAATAACTAATGCAATGGTAAATACGAAATCCTATTGTATCATTAAGGCCTCTTCAATTTAATGAGTAAAAGTAGTACCTTCTGTATTAGAGTTAAGAATAATTGTCGAGCACTTATACTTTTTTTCCTTATGATAGTTCATACTTTTGAATAGAAAACTGTTATTTAACAACATTCAGGAAATAAATCAGATTCATCACTAGTGTAAATACGAGGGCTATCCAGAAAGTAGATTACGTTTTGGAATAAAAAAATAAACAAAGTATAGGAAAAAATTTTATTAATACAGATGAAAGCCACACTCAATACTACTTTCTACATAGTCACCATACAAATTAAAGGCATTTATCGTAGCGATGTACGAGCTTGGAAATTCCTTCGTCGAAAAATTCGGCCGCCTGCGCCTTCAACCACTTCGTTACCTCTTCTTGCAGCTGTGCGTCGTCATCAAAACGCTGCATAGCCAGCCATTTCTTCATTGCTGGGAATAGGTGGAAGTCGCTCGGTTGCCAGGTCGGGACGTACGGAGGATGAGGAACAACTCCCACTTAAAAGATTCAAGAACTTTACGAGTGACATTTGCCGTGTGGGGGCCGGGCGTTGTCGTGAATCAACAAGATCTTAGAGCTCAACATTCCTCTGCGCTGTTTTGAATGCTCTTTCTGAGTTTTTGGAGAGTTTGGCAATACCTTTGAGAGTTTATTGTAGTGCCTCTTTCCAGGAAGTCCACCAAAAATTACACCTTTTCTGTCCCAAAAAAACAGTCGCCATCATCTCCTTTGCCGACATTGTTTGCATGCATTTCTTGGGTTTTTGGGGAGAACTTGTGTGCCCCCACTGCATTGATTGCATTTCGTTTCACAGTTCACATGTTTCACCCATGTTTCGTCACCAGTAACGATGCGATCGAGTAAAGAGTCACCATCCTTATGGTAAGCGTCCAAAAAGTTCAACGCTGCAGCCATTCGCTGATTTTTGTGGTCCTCTGTCAAGATTTTTGGAATCCATCTTGCACAAAACTGTGGTAAACCAAGCTTTTCGCTGATGATTTCGTGCAACAAAACTTCGTGAAATTTGTGGAAAAACTCAAAGAAAGTTCCGTTATTGTGAAATTCGATTTTCACGGACTTTAGCACGACTTTTTCGAGAAGTTCGGCGGTCACTATGCTGGGTCTCCCACTTCGATCTTCGTCGGAACATTGGTTCGGCCATTTGAAATCTATGACCCACTGACGCACTCACCTTCAGTGATAATTTGTCCCCATACACTTCACGAAGCGCCGATAGATTTCTACGGTTTACAGTTTTTTGCAGCAAAACCTTATTACTGAGCGCACCTCGCAGCTCGCGGGGATTTTCAATTAATGCAGACATTTCAAACCGTCACAGTATCTGAAGGAGCACAGCACGAACCTCTCACTAGCACGGCTAGATGCAGACTGAGCTGCGCAACGCTCTGACCCCAAGATGGCCGCGCTAGCCCCACCCCTAGCGGACACAGACGGAAACGTAATCTACTTCCTGGATGGCCCTCGTATATATACATCATATTTTTGAAGAGTTGCTTTATCATTTATTCATCAACTATCATGTATAGGTACATGATACGAAATGTATAGGTACGAAATACGAGATGTATAGGTAACCGTACCTATACATGTGTACATTAAACCACAAAGCAGGTTTAGGGTTGCCACATTTGGCGAGAAATTGCCCGTTTGGCAACAAAATAGGCAATATGCCATGGACGGAAGGAGAACCTTCTGGAACGAATTCTTACCGGTTTAGCCCAGAATATTCTCGAACACAAGTCAAAAGCTATATAAACCCTGCTGGTATGTGGAGAGTCAGTCAGTTATTATCGAGTCAGTTAGTCAGTCTGTGCGGAGTCAGTTGATCGAGTCGACAGAATCTCTTAGTGTATCGCGGTTAGTACATCATCAAGAAAGTGTGTTGAGCTCCAGGAACAACTGAACTGAGGAGTCGGGAGCTGTACTCTAGTGTATCATCGAGTGCATCACGAGTTGTAGCGTGGAGAGTCTCGAGAGTACGTGGAGCCCTGAGAACGACCAAGCAGAGTCGGGAGCTGTAGTCTGGTGCTTTTCAGGGAAGCTGTCTGCACCATTATAGCCTGATAACCTGAAGACTGTGTCACTAAGTTTCAGCATGCTTATAGCAGATCTTCGACGACTGTGCAAATGTGATTTTTGAGCTGTCCTGAGAACACTAGCCAATAAAGTGTGTTTTGATATTTCATCAAGTGCTATCGTCATTATTCACTCCAAATCCACATGAACCCCATAGGAATGTGAAGGAAGAAAATAGCGTAATTACTGGAAATAACGCTTAAAAAAACAGTGAAATATTATTATAAATTACAAATACAGTGATCTATAATTTTGTTAATTATGTACTATTTGCTTTGGAGTCAAGAACTCCATTTTAAAATCTTATTTCTTTTCTCCCCCCTCACAAAAATATTGCTATTTGAATTAAATTGTTAGTTTGAGTTAACTTATTTAATAATTACTTAAACATGTTAAAACTCTTTTAAATAATTGTTAGTCTGAAAGCTTAATATTTAGTTTTATATGTATGTTTGAATAACAAAATGGAACAAAAAAAAGTATCTTGCATGTACTAAACTTTATGATTTCAGCTAGGAAAAAAAAATATAAACTTGAAGCTTTTTCCTTTGTAATATTATTGCTACTTTTTATATATGTTTGATAAATATATAATTAGTGAAATTTAAAATTTATTTAAAATATTTTTATTTGTTAAAAAAATGAAAAGTAAAATAAAAAAATCTTGGCCTGTCAACTGTTTTCAGATTGTGCATTCGGCCGTCATGCTATTTAAGTTTAAAATCTCTGGTCCACATTGTTATTAATGCATAAAGTGCTTAGTAAAAACTAGCTTTTTCTCACAGTGTGTAAAAAATTTTGCAACCTTCTGTTCTGAAATCTTCAGTAGTGAATTTATTCAGTCACATTTTTCCCGTAATGCTTGAAAAATTATGCAGCTTTCTGTTCTGCAATGACAGTTGTGATAATAATAATAAATTAATAAATAATTAGGGAATTTATTGAATTTTATTTAATTTTTATTTTAATTTTTGATGTAGTAAGGATAGTGTTGTGTTCAGGCCTGAAGAGCATAAATATGTCACTATAGTTGTTATGCTTAATGTAAACTGTAGTATGAAAGCAATTGTTTTTATTTTTGTTTATTTAATTTGTCAAATGGCTTAATGTTGCAAGAATTTAACACAGAATTCTAATAATAATGACTTATAACAAACAAAGGTCTGTTGGTATGTTTATAATGGTTAGATGCATTTTAACCCTTTGCAACACGCATATTTAAAATATATTTTAATCTTTAAAAAAATGCCTTAGAATAAGTCAGATGGACTTACTTAAGTGCCTTTAAGTGCCTTGAAAAAAATTCTGCGCTTTTATTTTTTACGGGGCAAGGTGGGATACCGTTTGTCCCACCATGCAACTAGCATATGTCTTATAGCATGTTGGTGTATAGCAGGAAAAAAATCATATATGGAATGAATAAACAAAATAAAGCGTGCATTCTAAAATATTCATAATAAACACACTAAAATGCATTTTGTACTTATTGCATATATGCATGACTTGTAAAATTTTGCTTATGCACTTTTTGCATACATATATTTAATATTTTTAAATTTTAGGAACAAAAGAAAATATTTTCTTGAATATTATTTTAAGATTAAAATTTGATACTTGTACATATGATACTAAATAAAATATTAAAATTGGCACTTGATTCAAAAACATTTATATATGATTAAAATTGAAGAAAAAAGTCATTTTTCATAAAACTTTGAAAAACATGTTGTTTCATTCTTTTGTAAGCATGGAAGGCACTTCACATGTTTCACACATCCAAAATGTTCGGTCGTTCTTCTTTCGATGTGCTGCAATATGCACATTCTTCTCCTGCTCCGTTCTCTTTGGCATGTGTAACTTACATTTTTTAGTCTTTTCTGGTTGTACGAATGGTTTTTTAGTTTTTATTTGAACTGGGGATTTCAGTTTCATCTTTTCAGCTCTTTCTTGCCTGCAAATGCCATTAGACCTTCTATAACTGAGAGACTAAAATCTTTCATTGTTTTTACAATCATGATCGGGTTTCGCGAACAAACTTAAATAGAATAAATGTGTTTACTATACTCGCATCTAAAAAGTAAAAAAAAAAAAAAAATCCATGTGCCACCATTTCTTGCTTTTGCGGATCTATTTCATATAGTATCCTTTCAGTTGATCAAATCAGTCGACATATTCCCATATTCTTATTGTATGAAATAATGCTGTTTGGGCACAGTACTTTTTTTGTTGTTGTTGTTGTTATTGTTCTTTCCATCTCGTTCTTTTCTATTAATTTCTTTCATTTCAGTTGCCTTTTCCAAGCAAGACAGGATAGAAACAGATCTTTTATCCTTCCATTTTATGCAATAAATTGAATCATCGCTAACTGAAAAGTCTATATATTCTCTTGACATACATTTGTCTTTTAAATTTTTGAGTAGATACTTCCGATTCATATTTAGAGTGCCACATAGATGGCAGCCACATGCATAGATGGGTCTGTGTCTTTAAAAAGCGAAACAAATTATAACTACTTCCCTTTCTTCTTCAGCAATAAATTCAACCTCAGTTATTCTCTCCTGGATTTCAATTTCATCTGAATCAGAACTTACATCTGAAGCATATGAGTCGCAATCAGATGGCAGTTCAGCAAAAAAATCCAAAGCTTCCTGAGTTGTTAATTTTTTCTAGACATTTTAGCACATCAGAGCATACAACGGATGTAAAAACGCGCGCAATCACGAAAAAAAGTAGATGGAAAAAAGAAAAAAAAAATAATCGTGAGTGCTGCCATCTATTGAGCGAAATTCAAGTGTGGGTGGGACAAATTTTAAACCCACTTATTTCAACTGCAAAATTAATGTTATAAAATATTGAAACTAATTAAGATTTTTGAAAATAAAATACCTTTGAATATTAAAAAGAATCATACATATCATAAAATGTATACCAAAAATTTTAAAATATTGAAAAATGCGAGATACATGGATATCACTCTTGTGATCCTATTTTGAATATTTTCTGCTTATAAACTTAAGCCGTGGTATAGTAGTAACATCTACTGAGAAAAATAATAACTAAAATAGATTATTTTTAAAATATTAGAAAATATCTAACGGAAACTGCTAACTGAGAAAATAAATATTAATTAGGTGGGACATATATTGACCCACCATGCCGCAAAGGGTTAAAAGATAAAACAGATTAGTTTTCCTTAGCAACATATATGAGATATTGTGTGTAGAAAAAGAGTAAAAAACTTCCGACATACATTATTCTGTATATTAGCTAGAAATGAATGTAATTCTTTAAAGAATTGGATGTTTAAAAACTGGCAGTAATTGAGAATGAGAATTGACATTTTATTTATTTATTGCATTGAAATTATATTTTACTTATTTACTGCACTAGACATATGAAAAATTTCTTGTAAATCTAATTTATTATTTGAGAAGTTATTTGAATAATAGCTTCTCAAATGATGTTGTCATCAAATAATGTCATTTGTTATTTTGCAATTAATTCTTAAATAATATGTAATAAATTTTATGTTGGAATAGTAGTTAAATGTATAGCTTTTGGGCCAAATAATACCTTTAATGATTGCCATAGCATCATGCTATTGAGATCACCTCTGAGGTTAATTTTTTTTAAATTCATGTATTCTTATATTAAATATTTAAACAAAGTAGATTTGTTTGAGTATTTACACATTGCATTAAACTAAAAATTTGTTCTGTGTTTATCAACCATCACACATGTAATTATTAATATTCTTTTTTTAGTGAAGAAAATAAATTTTCAAAAAATCATTACATTTCGTGATGTAAGTTGATGTTATTTAGAGTATGTCTTACAAACTTTAAATATCATTTAATTTTTTGTTACAATTAGGATTTGGTGCACTTACTTAAATTTTACTTAGATGATCATTCCAATGACAATAATGTTTTTTTTTTTTTAAGCTCATAAAATCATCTGCCTTCTTATATGAATACCATTCATGCATTGATTGACTGAAATAATATGTTATATGGAAAGGAAGGAAGGAAAATAAAATGCTAAACTAACATCTTTCTGTTTCATAAATTTTAAGATCGGTCAGTAGCTAAGTGCTTGAAAATGTTGAGCACTAGTAGTTTATCCCACTTTTGATTTCCAATAGACAAACTGCCTGCATGAGATATTCTTGGTTTTCTACACATTTAAAGTGAATAAAAGCCAGCTTCTTTAGAAAGCTTTTAATGAAGGCTTTCTTCCTAAGACAGCTAGTCCTTGCATGCTTTGCTGTCAACCAATAAGTTTATATATTTTTAGCAATCTCATTATTGTTTACATCATGTTAAACCATCAATATTACTTTGAAATGTTGTTGCATGAAATACAGTTTTTATAATAAGATGTCAGAGTCAGATAAAATTTTTTCAATATATTGCCATATTACATTTTATACAGTTTAAATAAGATAGATAGCATCAAGTTTTGGATACTGAAAGGTGTGCTATGATATATATTATGATTTTAATAATTAACTAAACATTCAGTTTGCATTTTGGCCTCATTCGTATTTCTCCACTCTATGGTTTTAAAACTTTTCCTTTTTCTAAATCCATTGTAGTAAATTTTATAGTTAATTAATAAAATTGTAAATACCTTCATCTCACATACTTCAAGTATACCTTTTCTTGTAATTGTGGAATTCTTGAACAATTTTATAAAACCAGTCAGACTCTACTTATTCCAGGTGACATTTTGCACAAACTTTTGTTTTATTTATTATTTTATGCTAAATTATTAGTTACATCTGAGCCTGGGCCAGTTTAAAAATAAATATTTTGCCCAGCTAATTTAGGCATTTTCAACATTGCATATATATATTTTTAAAGAAACTTGCATTCAATGAAATTTTTGCAGAAATTATAATATAATAACTATACTTGAATTAAATGATGTGTTTTATGTTGCACATTAAGTATAAAAACAGTAATGCTCATGGCCGAAAGCAACCAAATCTGTGGATTACATTAAATCAATTCTTTGAATTGTAGCTAAATGATATGTGAGAATACAATATAAATGCAGTAATTTAAACTAAGAAACAACTTTAATTTAATAGTTTTACTCAAATTGTATTGAATATTTAAAAATAAGCATTTAATGGTTAAAAACAAGTTAAAACAAGCAAAAAAGAATCTTTCATTTATTCATCTGTTTAAACCACATAGTGTCACATAAAGAAAAACTGCAAGGGGGGAGTAGTATTTCTTTTTATGAAAGTTCCATTCTCATTATAAATATAAGTAATAATATACTACAAAATATATTCTTCATTTAATTTTATGCAGTACCAGAAAGGATTCTAATGTTCTTCAAGCAATTCCAGTTACTTCTGGCAATCCTACGGCGGACGATGTTTCAGTTGCAGGCTATGTGATAAAAATCATTCTGCTTCGGGGAGCTTTGTTAACATCAATTCGTAAGTTTATAAAATTTTCCTAGTAATTGTTACCTAATTATTGTAAATAATGATAAAATCCTCTGTGAAGCTTTATAAATTAAAAGTTTTCAAAATTACATTTCTTAGTTTGATATTGATAGTTGCGTAATTTAGATCTGAGTTTTTATTTATTTTATAGTCTTTTTTCAAGATTGCTTGTTCATTTTCGATACTAAATTTTGTTTTTTAATCAGACAAAACTTAAAAAGCAAATGAAATTTTTACAACCATCAATATGCTGTACTATAACCAGAAGTGTATGGTAACCATTCATGGCTTAAATCATAAATTATTAGCACTTAGCTTCCTACTGCTAAATCTTTTTCCAGTATATGAAATATCATAAAACCGTGAATTAAACCATTAATAACAAAAAATAAGCTTTTCAACAGCATGATTTCTTAAAAGGTTCCTTTTATTTATTTTTGAGAGCTGAACATATAACACATTTCACCCTGCTAGTGTACATAAAATATGTTCTATTTACCTATTCATTGAAATGAATGCAATTTTTTATGACATATAATAGCTATCTGGAATTGCGACAGTCCTCTTTTCAAATTGCATTAACCTTTTAACTGTCATTCCCGAAATAGTCTCGGGCACAGCACTGGTATTCCAAAATGTCACACCCAAATATTATTCAGGCTAATTTTTTTTTTTTTTTTTTTTTTTTTTTTTTTTTTTTTTTTTTTGAGTGCATCGTATTGTTATACCCGAATATATACCATGAGAAGTTTATTTTGACTTCAGTTCAACAGATGGCAGCAAATGATTGAAGGTTTCAAAGGATGGAGGTTAAAGTTCAAAGTGCGTGGCATTTTTTTGATTTTTTGACTTTGAGGCATGGAATAAAAAAAAATTGACAATTTATGCTTTCAAATCATCAAAATAACTTGAAAGTTAAAAGGTTAAAAGAAATTCATTTAACTGAAAATTCCTGTAATTTTTATATTTGAAAAGTTTCAGAATTTTTTTGTAATATTTAAATTCTGATGCAAAAATTATCAAGATAGTTTTGTTTATTTACTTTTTGCATTAAACACTATAAGATTACACTTTATGAAGTTTTTTAAAAAGATTTAAAAGTTCTTCTCTTAATTAGAATTAGAATTTTATCTTCAAATATGTTTAAGTTTGTTTAAAATCTATTTTAGCATTAATACAGAGTTAAGTTTCATTTCTTAAGTCTAAAAAATTTTTAAACTGTATTAGATCTACTGACATCTTCATTGCTGTTAAACGTATAAAAGTTACCTAGAATATGTGATTTGAAGACTCAAATGTTGCATTTTTGTATTCCTGCTATAATTATTTGTTTAGGCAGATGTTCATGGGTAAAATAAAGAAACTTTTTTCCATCATGTATAAGTTCATATTAGAATTTCACTGTACATATATATATACAGTGGTGGCCAAAATTGTGGACACTTTTGGAAATTTTTATGTTTTTGAACTTTGTATGCTTATAGAAAACGTTACGTTTCACAAAATGCAAACTTGTATACATCATTTTAAAGAGAATTTATTACTGAATTCAATACAAAACACAAAATTCAATTGTTTGCAATACAAAAAATGTTAAACGATAATAGTTATCGATATACATTAGATAGTGATGATTGCAGTGAGTTATCAGTACTTAGTAGGGTACCCTTTATTTCTGATTAAAGCTTCACATCGATGTTTCATTGAGCTGACAAGAGTTTTAAGCTCTTCCTTCATTATTACATGATGCCAGGAAACAATTATAGCCTCAATTAGTTCCCTTTTATTTGATGGGCGCCTCATTCGGACAAGAGTTTTCAAACGGTACCACAAATTTTCGATAGGATTGAGGTCAGGACCATTTCCTGGCCATGACAACAATTTAATTCTCTTTGTACGAAACCACTCTTTCGATATTTTGGCCACGTGGCAAGGAGCAGAATCCTGCTGAAAAAAAAATGAAGCATTGATGGAAAAGAGATCTCTGATGGAAGGTAGACATTTTTGTTCTAGAATAGTGTCAATGTATTTTCTGGCATTTAGTGTCCCATCGATGACATGAAGGCAACCAATACCATCTGCTGACATGCATGACCGAATCATAACACTAACTGGGTTCTTCACAGTTGCTTGATTGCAGTCAGGATGTAGCTCTTCTCCTATTCTACGTTTTACATATTTTCGCCCATCACTACCGAATAATGATATCTTAGTTTCATCACTCCATATAACTTGTGACCACTGATCATCTGTCCAATTAATGTGTTCCTTTGCCCGCTGTAGTCTTTTTTTTTTTTTTTTTTTTTTTTTTTTGGTTGTTGTTGTTGTTGTTGTTGCTGAAAATTAAGATAAGGCTTTTTTCGTGGAATTCTACCTCTCAGTCCAACATCTGTTAATCTTCTCCTGATTGTTCTTGAACTGACAGAAACACCAGCATCATTCAGATCACTTCTGATGGCCGCTGATGACAGTTTTCTATCTTGGAGACATAGTCTTTTTATTCTTCTGTCATCAGTAGATGTGGTGCACCTTTTTCGGCATTTTCCTTCTTTGTTTTTTATTGAATTTGTCTCCTGATATCGTAAACAAAACTTTCGGACTCCATATGTAGTCACTGAACCACCCACCTTTCTTGCAATTTCAGCATAGGAAAGACCACTTTCTCATAACATAATAATATTACATCTCTCTCTAAGTGTCCAATCTACTCTTTTATTTGATGTCATTGCTTCTTGACTATATATTAAAAATATTTACAAAAATTCTTACTTGTAATTGCAGTGTATACGAAACAGGTCCTCCTTCTACAGAACAAAGCAAAATAATGAATTGTTTCATGTGTAAACATGATGTCAGCTTCTACTGGCAGTTACTAACATTTGATTGGTTCTCAGAACAAGAACAGTGATTGGCCAGGAAAACTAGACATTACAAAAAACCACTTCATAACTGTGTTTTTTATTTATACTAAAGTACATATAACTTTTTTGTATTGCAAAATAATTGAATTTTGTGTTTTGTATTGAATTCAGTAATAAATTCTTTTAAAATGATATATACAAGTTTGCATTTTGTGAAATGTAAACATTTTCTATAAGCATACAAAGTTTCAAAAACATAAAAATTTCCAAAAGTGTCCAGAATTTTGGCCACCACTGTATATATATATATATAATATGAAAGAAAAGTACTAACTTTGATTTAGCAATAGTCCTTTTAATTTGTCTACATCCCCATCCTATCTTAAAATTACTATTATATGAATCTAAAGTTTGTTATTTGCAAATTTATCCGCAATAAAGGCTTTTCTGTCGCCAAGCCTTTTTCTCTTTGCTTGGGGGAATAAATAAGACATGAAATGTGAAAGAAAACTTCTGACTTTAATTTAGCAGTAATCCTTTAATTCCTCATTTTAATTTGGCTATGTCCCCTTCCTGAAATATCGTCATCTGGAAAACTAATCGACATTATGTCATCTTATTAATCCTGCATTGTCTTGTCCAGTTCAGTCCAAAATTTAAACAAAGAAGTCAGCTCTATAAATATCTCTATGTTGAAATGTGCGGTAACTTTGACTGCCTTTTTCTCACTAAGTTAAGATGTGCTGTTCTTTATGTTATCCATTCTCTGAAAAATGCGATACACTATGAAAAATTGTGTGATGCTTGGCACATCTATAGTAATGTATAAAAGAGAATATGTGTCCTCAGAAATAGTCATCAAGAAATAAAATTATATCTTGTTATCAGCAAATATTTTCTTCTCTATTATGTCCTCATATGTATCTGTGCATCAAAGTCTTCCAAGTAATTACAGATAAACATTTTATCTTTAATAGCTATTTTTTAATCCTCAAGTCGACTTATTAACTAAATTTAATGGGAATGCATATATAAATATAAAAGTTTTATTGTAGAATTTTGAAGCACACAGATGTGCTTGAAAATTTTGTCAGTCAAAAATGAACGACAGTTTATTTCTATTGATATATTTTGACTTGTGAATTAAGTCTTTTATATCTTTTAATGCCAAGTCTTTTTGTATCTTCCAAATTCATATTTTATTTTAAAGCTACTGTTTATAAGAATCATGTTTGCATTGTGTGTTTTAATTCGTAAAAATGGAAATATACATGTAATAGCCTATTATTTGATAACAGCAAAAAATGTGTCAGAAAAGTCAGAATGATCTGAAATTTGACTTCAACTGAATATACATGAATTAGTGGGAATCTTACTGCTGAAAGAATAAAAAATAATTCAAAATTTTATGAATAGATAGCATGTTGCTATTATAACATGCTAATTAAAAGACATGACATGCATGGCATACAAAAATAACTTAATTAAAAACACGAAATATATGCAGTTCCTGCTACTCTGTGTCTGAGAAGCTCATCATAACTCTGTTAACGAAGAATTGGACTCTTACTTGTGAACCTCTTTTCCCCCCCCCCAAGAATAATGACTTCTTCATTTGCCCTTTAGAAGTTCTGGATATTAACCCTCTAAGCCGCAAGGCCGTATATATATGGCCTAGAATATTTTTTGTGATATCTGTAAGAACGTATATATACGTGCATATTAAAATATTTCAAAGAAATTAAGGCAATATATCAAAAGAAAACAAATCCAGGGTATGAAATACCAGGAGAGTTTTTACATTAAAATCAAAAAAAATAATTTGTTCTTATAGTAGTTTTGGGAAATTTGTGCTTTCTTAGCGAAAGCCCTGGCCGCTCAGAGGTTAATAATGGGTATAAGATGCAGCTATGGTCTAATGTTTGCATTTTTTTTTTTAATATTCTGAGTATTGACAGAACCTTGCAGTTGGAAATAGGCTTTATCAAATCACAAAATGTTCCAGGGCTAACTGAGCATGTTGAATGGTTAACTGAAGTTTTTCTTCTTGTATACAAGCACATAAGATGACAAGCAAGATATATGTGCTTGTCAATTACCTTTTATAAAAGATTAAAGCATGATTCTAACTGGTTTTAAATATTCCTGGTTCCACTATATTTTGATGTCATATGCATCAAACTAATTTCACCAGTCATTCCTGTTTACGAAATTCTTACAAATTTTATTTCCAAAAATAATGATTCACCAATGCATGTGTAAGAGAAAATTATTAACTTAGCAGTTTACAGATTTTGGTGTACAAAATTAAAAAATAGAAAACTGAACACAATTCATAAATGGAATTCAAGTTGTATATCAGAACATATGCAAATCTGAATGTGAAGAAAGATGTGAATACAGTTTATGTGTATTGCAGAATGCACCACTAATCCTTTTAAGGTTATGCCTTGAAATTCACTTCATGTTCTTGCGTAACATTTAAATCTTGAAAGCATTTAAATGAATTCTAGAGGGGCAAGTTATAACAGGAATGCAATTCTGGCTTTTTGTGATAAATAGCATCCACCAAGCGTAACAACACTCTGCAGTTATTGTTTCACTTCTACTTAGTTATTGTCTTCCTAACTGGTGTTTGTCAATGATGAAGTAAAAGTATATAGTAAAAGAAGTAGTAAATAGTATTATAGTAAAAGAAGATGATCAGCAGTCATTTTCCAGTGCTTTGATTCATTCATACTTTTTTGGAAAGATTGCAAAACTGCAAAAATTGAACCTTGATTTATAGGTCTTAGCCATATAATTCTAGTTTGTCACATGTTGCAACCATTTTCAAATTCATCATTCTCAGCATTAGAAAGAAGATCTTGCACAGCTTCTTTCTTTTGGGTCATCCGAAAGCAGTTTTGGCATTAAGACTGGGGACACATATCTCATACTCAAATCCTCAATGAAAATGAACTGTAATGAATGCATTGAAAGCTCTTCAGATTATATTATGTTGTTTAGAAAATGCAACATTAATTCATCTTTTTCTTATAGCCAACCCACAATATAATATTATTTTTTAAAGTGCTTCTTTATATCTTCAATATTCTTCTGCAAATCATTCTTATAAGTTTAATGAGCACACAGATTTAAAATGTATGATGAACATCCATATGTGAAGATATCAGAATGACTTATACTTGAAACTTCAGTTTTAATGTATTTGTTCACTGTATTAATTTTTTTTTCTATTATCAGTATTAACTGAACAATAATTTTTGCCATTATCTTTCCTTGATAAGAGAGGGAGGGAAAAGAAAATCTCGATAAGTGAAATTCATGTTGTGTCTAGATATAAAATAAATTTTATTATTTCTGAAAATAGCTTGAACTTTATGAGTCTTGAAGAAATTTTTTGATCATAAACTGAATTAATGATAACAGCTCTTTGTCAGTTTTTACATTTGAACCAATTGAGCAATTTCTGTTTTAGATGAGGAATTTTAAGTTGATAATTTTTAGGATATAGTGTAAGTGCATTTATTAACAATAAATGCATTATTATCAATAAATTATTATCAATTATTATCAATAAATGCACTTTCTTTCCCAATGATCAGATTTCCTAATAATTTTTTCATTGCTTTTTGAAATTTTTAAAGAAAATGATTCATTTCTTACCAATACTTCCTCTTTCATATTGCTTATGCATGTTATAATCTTTTCATACCATTAAAGAATTCCATATTTAGAAATGTTGTTTGAGGTAACAAATCTAGCTGCAATTTCACTTTTACTTTACTTGTTCCTGCTTTTCTCAAGGAATGCTGTATGATTCGTTTCATGCTATGTGTGTTACTGATGACATTCTGTATGTAATAACATACATAAAAACATATGCCCGCCATTGGCCAAAGTGGTAAAGATATTATTTTTGCAGGTTTTGTTGGTCACATAATTGCAGTTACAGAAGTGTTTTAAATGATGAAAATATTCATGTTTTAGCAATGCCAAATTTTTTTTAAAAAATGTAATTTTAGAAAAATCATGAAATTTAACTTTTAATGCTGTTTTCCATTTCCTATACTTATATTTCCAAAAGTTTTATAGTCATTACAAAAAAAAATAAACTTGTAGGAAGTTTGATTTCTGTAGGACAAAAATTGACCAAGATATTTAATTTCAAAATTTGCTATTTTTGATGTCATTTTTCAAATTGCCTTGAGGAATTGGTTAATTAAGTTAGAATAATTCGAGGAAATAAGTTTAAATGATGGCAGCAAGAAGTGTGTATAATTTAATAGGGCATATAAGGAAGTCATGTTGTGTCCACATCAGATTTTTTATAAACTATAATTTTTTTGCAATATACAATGTAAATGTACTGTGATATGCTGGGTATCAGTGCAATAGCAATGTGCTTGTCACGGCTTGTTTCTACTACTACAAACTGTCAACTGAATTGATGCAAAATTACATTTGTGTAGTAATATGTCTTCATATAAAACTAAATCTAACTTTTTTTAAATACCGTATTTGACGGCATATAAGATGCACCCTTATTTAGATGGCTACACACAAGGGGAAAAAGTTTCAATAGCGTGGTTTCTTTTAGTTTCTCACGTTTCGTAAAAGCCAAATAAACAATTATTGAATGCAATTACCTTCACGTATAAGACTGTGTCCTTCACGTATAAGATGCAGCTAACTTTTTTGAGACCAAATTTAGGAAAAAAAAGTGCGTCTTATATGCCGTCAAATACGGTAATTTGAATAATTTTTAGCCGTATGAAATTATATCATATGTAAATCACTGATATGCTAGTAAAATTTGCTTAGGTGCCATATTTGGCATGCATGTCAAGGGTTCACCATCTGAAGAATAACTATTACAGTCAAAAGTCGCTAATTCGGACACCCATAATCCGGAATGATCTATAATCCGGACCTCAAAGCTAAAATCTTTCTGCGCATGCGCCGCATTGACGCATGCGCATAGGCGTTTTACTCGTGCGCCCAAGACATTTTTACGACTGCGCAAGTGCAGAATACGATTTCGCGTGCGCGTTTAATGTATAACGGACGGTATAAGCTAAAATTATCTAATTATCTATTTCAGTTAATGTCGATGATTGCGTTGTTCCTTAATCTTCGAATTGGATCCGGCTTATTATTTTTTGCAGACTGTAAGAGCAATTTCTAAAAAGTAAGCTTGAACTTTTGATTATGTCAAAATAGAATTTCCGATGCTGGAGCTCCCAAAGGATCTAGAAACGAAAGTATGTTTCGATGTCCATCAAACAAAAAACGAATTGCTACAAAAAATGGATAAAGGCATATTCTTTGTTATCTAACCGTTCCGAATCTGTTTATCAATTTCACGCCTGCTCTGCGCGGGGGGGAAGACGTCCCGGCGCGCAATGAACTGGAAGTTGATTGTCAACACTTATCGTTATCTTCAGAGCAGATGTTTTTATTTTATTCGGCTTATAATTCTTACTAAATGTAGTATATAATTCGATGTACTCCGTCTTTGATATGATTTAAATCAAATTCCTCGTCGTTATAAAATACCACGAATACAATCGAATAGTTTTCTGGTTGCAATTTTCTAATTTCGGCTATGCGTAAGGTATGCTTACGCATCCGCGCGTTGAAAGAAATGTTTAATAAAGTAAACAAATAAATATTATGCTTCTTTTTTGGTAAATTTGATACCCTTTAGATCATAATTGCTCATTATTTTATAAATTACGGTTCATATTTTTAATTTTATAATTTCTGAATGCCATCTTACCAGATTTAAACTGATGATCTATAATCCGGAAAAATCGATAATCCGGAATCGCCGAAGTCCCGACGAGTCCGGATTAAAGACTTTTGACTGTATTTTTATAACTTTTCTTTGCTTATTTAAGTGTACCAATTAGCATATAAAACAAAATGTTTTTATTTTTAATATTAAGACTAAACTGAGCATAAAAATATAAGATTCTGAAATATTGCAGTTAGTGTTCTTTCAATTACTTTTAATAAAATTATTAGTAGGATGTTTTTAATGTGAGTTATATATTTGTAAACTGAAATTTTTGTTACAAAAGTTGCATTAAAAAATACTTTAAAAATTGTTAATTTCAAAAAGATCTTCCAGATAATCTTTTCTAAGAATCATATAAAAATATGTTGTTATAAAACAAAATATATTATTTTAATCATTAGGAAATAAGTTTAATAATGATTTTAATATTGTTGTTTATCATTGTATTTTAGTATGAATAATTTTTAATAACTTTATTTTTAGTTATAGCTTCTATTTTGGAAAAACTAGAAAGACAAACTATCACAATTATTATGAACAGTCTTTTTATTCAAGAGTGTTCTGAGTATCAAAAGCATGTAAAAATATTTCTGTCAGCTCTTGTTCCTGGTAAAAAGGTATTTTCCCTTTATTTATCTATGAATTGAAATGTTAGGTTTTGTAGAATAATGTGTGATACATTTTGCCTCATCTTAGTCTTTTTTTAATGTAACTTATTTATTTGTGTTGTTATTATTTCCTCCAATTCTGACAAAACTGTGAAGAAAAATTTCATGATATAAATAATTTATATTATAATTGATGTCTATTAGAAAACCTAAATTTATTACAGAATGCTGAAAAGTAGTATTAATATCAAAATAATTTTGTACCTATGTAGTCATAAAAAATATTTAATTCCATATTATTTCAGAATATTTATATGATATGCTTGGCTTTAAATGTGTATAGTATATGTGGCGTTCCGACAGATACTTCAACTTCTATTCATGAGATGGCGCCACGTGTAAAATCCAGTTCTTAATCGGAGCAGCAAAGCGACATCATTAAGGCCCGTTTCCACTACTGCGTATGCGTCTCTCCAATCAGCGAGCGAATTCACTTTGATTGACATCTGCAATCCGGTCGGTGTGCGGTGACGGATGAATACGGATGGAGTTCAACA